CTCTGCCACGCATACACGCTGCCCTGCTGCACCTCCTCACCCTCCCAGCCTCCCCCGAGCTCCGCCTCTGCCTCCGCGCTGCGCCACCGCCTGCCACGCCCCGAGCTCTGCACCATCACCGCATCGCCTGCCTCACCTCCTCCCCACAACATCTTCAACCTTGCCACCCCCGAGGCGCCATCACACGGCTGCCCCTCCCCCACCCCTTCCCATCCCCAATCCCCCACCCCCCTCCGGCTCGGTCGCCAAGCACTTCTCCGGCTCGGTCGCCGAGCACAAACCGGTGTTACTCAACACCACCCACCCCTGGGAACACACAACACCCACCCTTGGCAACACACAACGAGACTGGGCAGGGTGGCACAATAGGCAGGCTCAGCAAGGCAGGGGCGGCTGGCAGGGAGGGGGACCAGGTGCTGGCCTTGGCCCACCGAGAGGCTGAGGGCAGCGGTGCTGCACACGTGGCGGGTGTCACACGTGCGTGCCAACAAGAAACCGAGAAGCAGGGCCAGCAGCAGGGGCAAGCAAGGGCTGCTGGGCTGGGCTGCGGCTGCCTGCCCGCGGTGAGACTCAGCGCTGGGCAGGCAGCGCCTCCCCAGACCGCCCCGCAGGCCCGGCGCGCTGGCTACAGCTGGCCCCGCCGCACCGCCGCATCCAGATCCTCTGCTGTCATCTGCCCCGGCAGCCGCTGCGTGTTCCTGTTGAATATCGAGTCTGCAGCAGCATGGGGTGCGCCACGCACGACACGCAGCAGCAGCGGTGTGGGCAAAGCGCGGCAGCTGGGCTGGGCGGGCCGGGGGCTGATCAGGCGCCAGGCCGGCTGCCGGCCCGGCGCTGCGCAGCCGCAGCCAGCCACTGGCCCGCCTCGCAGGGCTGGCTCCGCTGTGGCGCTAGCATAATGCTGCTGCTGCTGCTGCTGCTGCTGCTGCTGCTGCACAGGCTAGCGCCGGCTGCTAGTGCCCCTCCACACATGCAGCCTGGGCCGGCTGCGGCGCGGCGCCACTCACATGCGCTCCACTCCCCCTCCTTGCGCTGCCCCAGGTTGAGCAGCATCAGCAGGAAGATGGTGGTGATGATGTAGAGGGGGCCCAGCTCGTGGCCCGCCGCCAGCCGCGCCCCGCCCATCCACGCCAGAAGGCCCAGCCAGAAGCGCGGACGCACCGCCAGCAGGAGCGCCACCAGCGCCTCGGGCAGGCGCAGGCGCCGGTGCAGCAGGTGCGCCGCCGCGCGCTTCCAGCGAGGCGCGTTGGCCGGCAGGCGCAGGCGCAGCATCTGGTCGGCTTCATCCTCCTCCTCCTCCTCCGGCCCACCGCCAGACACAAGGTCTCGCACCGCCTTGGGAGGCGGCCGGGGCACCACCGCTGCCAGAAGAGTGTCTGCAGGCAGGCGGGGGCAGGAGCAGAACCCAATGCGCAGGCGATTGCAGGCAGGCGTGCAGGCGCAGGCGAGTGAGTGGCTCGCTTATGCGAGGTGCAGGAGAGTGATGTGCACCGCAGGTCTTGTCCCCTGCCACCCAACCGGGCGTGCCACAGCCAGCGGCACGCACCTCCATCCTGCAGCCTGCCCACTGCCTCGTCGCCTGCCAGCAGCTGGCCGCCCTGCACCAGCCGCAGGCCCGCGCCGGGCGGCAGCGCCAGGCTGCGGGCCACCGCCGCCTGCAGGGCCGCCGCTGTGAGCTGCTGCTCGGGCGGCAGCTGCACCGATAGTCGCTTGCCCGCCGCTGTGACCACGGTGAGCTGCATGGCTGCGCAGGCGGGGCCAGGCCGGGGCGAATGCGACCGAGGACTTCAATGAGGAGACTGGAGGCGTAGAGGTGCTGGAGATGTCCTGTGGTTGTGCATGAGAAGGCGAGGAGCGTCTGAAGCCTGCAGCCAGCACAGGCTCCAGCTGGCGGGGCGGGGAGCGCCGTGCCGCCACCCGCCGGCCGTGCCTGTATGCCTGTACTGTGCCTGATCGTCTCGCCGCCTACAGAGGCATTACATAAAGCAGGTTGTGCTGCCTCAATGTGTAAAGGAAGTAAGTATGGCAAGTGTTGCAGCCATGGGAGGGCAGCACAGCAGGCGCCGCCCACGCTGGCGCCGAGGGCAGGGCAGGTTCTGGGGTCATAGAATGCTGAAGCATAGAATGCTGAAAACCACTGAATAGTTTTTGGAATTTGTAGCAAATAATTGAAGTGTAAACTCCCCGCTCTGAAAATACTGCTGGGGCACGCTGCTCGTGAGGCGCGTTTGCTCGGCCGCCAAGCCAGCCCGCGGGCCGCCTCAGGCCCTGCCGCCACCGCGTCCCCCCTGCTGGTGCGGCTGACGCAGCGCCCGCACCAGTGCATCAGCATAGATCACTGCCGCCCGCTTCTTCTCGTCGGCGGTGGCCTCACGGTTGCGCGGCAGCGTGGTGCGGGCGGCCTCGGCGGCGGCGGCGGGGCCGCGCACCGTGCCGCACCTGCAGCAGCGCCAGCGCCGGCGCCACGCCCCAGCCGGTTTGGCAGCAGCCCATAGGCTCAGTTGGCAGGCGGCCATGCTGCGCAATCCCACCACGTGTCTCTCCCCAGCCTGCGGTACCCCAACACCCAACAAGCACCTCCCCCTCAGGCCGCCTTCCACCTCCAGTCAGGCCGCCCGCCTCCACCGCCCAGCTGCCAGCCCCAGCCCAGGCCTCACGTGTGCATCAGGTGCGCCTCATACTCCGCCACCTCAGCATCGTAGTCGCGGATGGGGAAGTTGGTCTTGGCGGTGCGGCCCTGCACGCACAGGTGGGCGTGGGGGCAGGCAGGTGGGGCGAGCGGGTGGGGCGAGCGGGTGAGGCTGGCAGGCAGGCAGGCTGTGCTGGGTGCAGGTTGCAGGTGCAACTCAGGCTTCATTGGCTGGGCCCGAAGCAGGCATCGCCCGCTGCCGCTTTGCCCAGCAGGCGTGTGATTCAGGAGGCGGCAGCACAAGGGAGGGCGCCGCCGCGGGGTGCCGGCAGCGGCAGGCGCGGGTCACCTTTTCCAGGATGAGGGCCCGGTCGTACTGCCTTGCTGCCCCCTCCTCGCTCTCAAACACGCCGAACGACACCTGCAGGCAGGATGCACGCGGCGGCGGTCGGAAAAGCAAGCGCAGCAGAAAGTCAGCTCTCGCAGGCTGGGAAGAGGGCAGCCGTGTGTGCTTCGGGAGAGCAGCAGGCACGCCGCAGGGAGATCGCGGGCCGGGCAGGCCGCCCCGCCGCGGCAGGCGCCCCGCCTCACGTTCTTGCGCCCACCAAAGGAGCCGATGCGAGCCTCCCACCGCCCGTTGTGGCCGGACACGCCGCGGAAGCGGGACTTGCCGCGGGAGAAGGCGGAGCTACGGCGCCGCACATACGCCACCACCTCGTCCTGCGGGGGGGGCATGGCGGGTGGGCGGGTGGGTGGGAGGGTATGGCGGGCGGGTGTTGGGGCGGATGGCGAGGGGCGTCAGGGTGCAGGTGCGGCTGCGTGTCGGCTGGGGCGAGCTCGCAGCAGGTGAAGCTGGGGCGACGAAACTTGCTTGCGCTGGAGCTTCCAGCCGTCCCGGCGCTGGCCATGTGCCGTGCCTTCGTTCAAAGCGGCGGCCCTGCCCTGCCCCGCCCTGCCCTGCCCACGGCCCGCCTGACGCCCCGCCCGCCTCACCCGCGTGTACCCCGCAATCTCCCGCAGCTGGTCTGCGTAGTCCTCCGGGCCAAAGTTGATCTGGGCGTCCAGGCCCTTGCAGGCCAGGGCCGCCAGGTCGTACGCGTGGGCCGCATCCTCCTGCAGCAGGTGGGGGTGGGGATGGGGGTGAGAGTTGGTGGGTGCAAGTGCAGGTGGGGTGGAGGTGGAGGTGGAGGTGGAGGTGGAGGTGTGGCAGTGAGTGGGGGCAGGTGGTGGGCAGGTGGAGGTGCAGGGGTGCAGTGGCAGCTGGGGGTGGCAGCGCTGGTGTGGCAGTGGGTGGGGGCGGCGCGGATGGGCGTGTGTGTGTGAGGGGTGGGGTGGGGGCGCGTTGGTCATGGCAGGGCAGTGCAGCCTGACAGGGCGCCTCGCCTGAGAGTTGAAGCCGCCCAGGTACAGCTGGCGGCCGTTCAGCCACAGGGAAGCCTCCCACCGCTGCGTCAGCCTGCACAGGGAAGCGCGGCGGAAGCGGCGGCGGAAGCGGCGGTGGCTGGGCGAGGGCAGGGCCCGGGCTCGCGGCGCCGCTGCTCGCAGCAGCCCCGGCGGCGCGCCCACCTGTGCCTGCTCACGCCCCGGAACTGCTGCTGCTGCTGCTGCTGCTGCTGCGCCGCCACCGCCAGCGCCGCAGCCTCCTCCTCCTCCTCCTCCTCCTCCTCCCAGGATGCCTGGTACTGCTGCTGCTGCCGCGCAGCTGCCCGGCCTCGCTGGCGGGCGGGTGTGTAGGCTCGGTCAGCGGCGGCAGCGGCGGCAGCAGCAGTGCGCCCCCCCTGGCGCCGGCTATGCTCCAGCCCGAAGCGAGAGGGCGGCAAGCTGCTACCGCCCGCCGCTGCGACGGCCCCGCCCCATTGCTGGGTGCCTGCAGCACAGGCTCGCAGGGAGGGCGGCCGGGATGAGTGGCAGGCTGCGTGGCGGGCTGACGCTCCACAACAGCCAGGCTGAGACCTTGCGCCGCACACCAGGCAGGCAGGCAGGCAGGCAGACAGGCAGGCAGGCAGGCGGGCGGGCAGGCAGGCAGGCAGTCGGGCGCGTTCAGAGCCCGCGCCTGCCCCACCCCACGGATCCCGTCGCACCCGGCCCAGCCCCCTCACCCGTAAACCAGGCGTGGTGCGGGCAGCTGGAATCCAGCTCGCCACTGCCGGGCGACTCCCCTCCCCTGTCCTCTGTGCCCTCGCTCCAGGCGCTGCCAGAGGTGGCAGCCACCGCCCCTGCGGCGCCGCCGCTGTGGCGCTTGCCCCCCCGGGGGCTGTCCCGTGCCAGGGGGTCGAGTTCCATCCTGTCGGCCCGACGCTTCGGGCTGCCCGTGTCGGCGGCGGCTCGCGCGCCGGCGCCACCAGGCGCGCCCGCCCCCGTGCGGATGCGGAGCACAGAGGCCGGGCGGGCGGCGGCGGCGGCGGCCAGCGCGGCGGCGGGGGCCTCAAAGGCCGCCGCCGCCGCGGGGGCGCTGCTGCTGTAGCTGGAAGCGTGCTGCCGCAGCGCCGCGGGCTGCGGCAGCTGCATGAGCAGCGCGGCGCGCGCGGCGCCGGCGCCGGCGCCGCAGCCGCTGCCGCCGCCGCCGGCCGGCGCGGCGTGCGGGGCGGAGGGGTCGAACAGCAGCAGCCGCAGCTCCTCGTCTGTGGGCAGCTCCCCCAGCCGGCTCTCGTCTGCCAGTTCTGCAAAGTCGGTGAGGCCGCCGCCGCTGGGGCAGTAGCGGCACAGCATACCCCCGGCCGGCGCGCCGTCTTCTAGGTCATCTGCAGGCCAGGCAGGCAGGAGTTTGGCGCGAGAGCAGTGGCCAGTTCGTTGATGGCGGAGGGAGCGGGGCCAGCAGGGCGGGGCAGGCAGCAGGAGCTGCCGCGGTGGCACCAGAAGGAGCGACAGCCGGGGGCTTGTGTGTGCAGGCTGGCGCCGTGGCCCCGGCAGGTGCACCTGTGGTGATGAAGTCTAGCTGCGTGAATGGGCGCCCGTAGGCGGGGATGGTGAAGGATCCAGAGCCTGATGAGTGGTGGAGGAGGTGCAGCGGCGGCGGCCCGCCGCCCGGCCGCAGCTTGCCTCCGCATGCGGCCAGCGCCCTGCCGGGCGCCAGGGCTGCCGGGACGGGGATGAAGGCGTTGGGCAGGACCAGGGGCGTGGCGGCCGAGGCGCCGCCCTTGAGCACGGTGTAGCTGCTGGCTGTGGCCAGTAGAGGCCCCGTTTGGCCGGCGGTTGTGGTGGTGGCGGGGGTGGCAGCCAAGCGGACAGCTAGTGACTCGGGGCCCAGAGACTCCGTTTTGAGGAAAGGGGTGAAGCCATGGAGCGAGATGGGTCCCTGCGGGGCATGCGAGGGCAAGGCTGGGACCGCGAGTGGCGGAGGATAGCGGGGCAAGTGCTGCCGACGTGATGGTGCGCGGCGGTTGCGGTGATGAGGGCTGTTGGCGGCGCCAGGCACCAGGCACCAGGGCGCACCTCCCTGAACCCCGGCGCACCATCCTCTGATTTAAGCTCGGCCAGCAGCAGGTTGAGGCCGTCGTCTATGCCTGCAGAGAGGGAGCCGCACTTGGCGCGCGCAACTCGGTCAGGGTGAGCGGGTGGACACAAGTGTGCCAGACCTCGAGCGGCGCCTTGGAGCCCCCTCCGCTGATGGGTTGTGCCCCAACTTCATTCCAGGGCGCTGGCGAGGCGCTGAACCGCCTGTTTCGGCCACGGAGGGCCAGAGGCGCGCGCGGAGGCAGCTCGCCACTCACTGGAGAACGATCGCGGGATGTTAGAATGATCATCATAAGCTGACATTCCTCAGCCGCGACTACAAGCGTCCCCAGGCCGCAGCCAGCACGCCAGAGTGCCCGGTGGTCTGCGACTCGCTGGGCAAAGCCGGGGGTACGAGGCGTATCCTGTCACTGTCGCATAAGGGCTATGGGGCTCTGCAGGACATCTGCCGCTCTCTGGAGAGCGGTTTGGTCGCGCACGCATTCCGGCCACGTGGCAGTCGTGCTGACCAGCAAGCCCAACGCACGGGCGGGAGGCAGCTCCGCATCCACCGCAAGCTCTGATCGCTTGCACCAGTGATCAAGCTGGCAAAGGAAGCTTTCGAGGCTGACTGCGGCTGCTCCGTTTTCTCCCGGTCTCGTTCCGCTTGTAGCTGACAGCAGGGGAGCAGGGGATGCCAAAACTTAGCGCCTATGTCGATGCGGGACAAACAGGCGACACCCCTTCAGTTTCTGCAGCGGTGCCCCAGGGGCCGCTGGCGAGCGCAGCCGGGCCGTCGCTCGCGCGCCGCCCTCCCCAGCAGCAGCAGCAGCCGCAGAAGCAGCCTCCTCCTGGATCCCTAGAGCAGCCCTCCCTGGGCCTGCAGCACGAGGCGGCTGCCAACAAGCTGCAGGCAGAGTACGCCAAGCGGCTGCGCGAGCACGGGCCGCGCACGTTCCGCTGGCCTGACGGCAGTCTGCGGCCCGAACGTCCGCCGCCCAACCCCCACGCAGTGGTGAGCTGGGCTCTTCACCTTGCATGTGGTGATGATGCACAAGCGCTGCATGCTATCAGGGTCATGAAAAGCCGTGTGCACCTGCCGTGTTGCCACGCTAGCCCTTCCACCTCCCATTTCCGCAACACCCAGCGCTTCCTTCCCCACGCGCATGCCTGCGCAGGCCAACCGGCAGCAGTGGGCGGAGCTGGTGCAGCACTGCCGCACGCACGGCGGCGACCGCGGCAACGAGCGGCAGGGCGCCTCGCTGCGGTACGGCATCGGCGTGGCGCACCAGCAGCACGAGGCCTACCTGGCGCGGATAGGGCTGGAGGCGGAGACGGATGCGGCGGGGTGCGCTCCGGCCAGCGCTGCGCACTTAGCACTCGTCGACAAGCCAGCATTATAGCTGCTCTATGTCCGTGCTGCATGCTGCTGTGGTCAGGAGCTCATGCCATGAGGGTGTGCGTCCTCATTCCCTTGCCCAGTGCTGCCCCTGCTGCCCTGCTGCCCCTCTCGCACCGCAGGCGCTACAAGGGCGAGGTGCCAGGCTTGCCCAGTCCCCTGGAAGAGCCGGAGCACTGCTTCAATACCTACTACCGAAAGGTGCGCCCCAGCACCTCCTCGACACCTGCCCCCTCTCAGCTTGCGACCGCCACCTGCCGCCTGGAGCGCTGCCAGCCCCCACCTGCCGTCCTGTCTGATTGTTGCGCTGGCTAACCGCTGCCGCACACAACTGCGCTGGCGGCTGCAGGGGGCAGAAGCTGTGTTCAAGGATGCACGGGGCAAGCTGCTGTGACCGCTGCCGCAGCGGGCCAGGCACCCGACCCAGGCCCCGGCACGCCCCGGCAGCGCGACACCCCGCCTCTGCCCAGCAGCAGCTGCCTGCCTCTCCCTTCTTGCTCCCAGCTTCCTGTTACACTGCTGCCCTACCTCATTATTTGTTCATGCACTACTTGGCTGCTGCACACTTGATCTCAGCTCGCATGGCTAAATGCTTCCTGCCGCCGCCACGATGAATGCTTTCCTCCCTGCAAAGCGTCCTGTAGACCTGCCACTTGGTGCACTTCCTCCACCTCCAGTGTCGCCTGCATCGGTCTCCTCCTTCTCAGCTGCTGCCCTTGCGCGGCAGCGCAGCGCGGCGCCGCTCTACTTGTTGGGGCAGGCAGACGAGAAGTGGTCGTCGCCGCCGCACTTGAAGCAGGCGCCCGCATCCCCGCGCGCGCCGCCGCCGCCGCCATACTTGCGCTTGGAGGCGCCGCCGCCGTAGCCGCCGCCGCCGCCGTAGCCTCCGTAGCTTCCGCCGCCGCCACCACCACCATAGCCGCCACCGCCGCCGCCGCTACCGCCCTGGTTGGGGCAGTCCCTGCGGAAGGAGGGAGCAGCAGGCGTGCCTCGAAACCAGCAGCACCCCATGCAATCCAGAGCAGCGAGTCCAGGAGTCGCGCTATTCATTCCTTAGCGCGGGCCCAGCAGGGCCTGCTGGGGAGGCAGATGCGGGCCCTCACCTGCTCCAGTGGCCCGTCTCGCCGCACTGCAGGGCAGGCAGGAGGTTAGGGCGGTGGGTGGGGGTGGGTACGCACGCGGAAGGGCGCTGTGGTGCACAGCGTGCCCAGCAGGCGAAGGGCAAACGCAGAGCAGGGGAGGGGCTCACCTTGTAGCAGCTGCCGTTCTTGGTGCCGCCACCCCCACCGCCGCCATTGGCGCCACCGCCGTAGCCGCCGCCTCCATAGCTCCCGCCATAGGCCCCACCGCCGCCACCAGCGCTGCTACCACCACCTGCGGCCTGGTTCGGGCAGTCCCTGCAGAATGCACAGGAGCCAGGCCTCACCACAATCCCCACACAAACACCTGAAAACTCAACACAGCTGGATTGCAGTAGCAGCAGGCCCAGGAGCCCCCCCGTTCTTTCTTTAGTGCAGGGCCCAGCAGGGCCTGCTGCAAAGGCAGCAGCGAGGCCTCACCTGCTCCAGTGGCCCGTCTCGCCGCACTGCAGGGCAGGCAGGAGGCGAGGGCGAGGGGTTGGAGGCAGTGAGAGGCGATCCATGGCAGGAGAGCTCCGCAGCGGACACATCAAATCAGAAGGTCAAGGCCAGGCAATGCAGGCCGGGTCAGGGCAGGGCCCCACCTTAAAGCAGCTGCCAGTCTTGGCGCCGCCACCACCCCCACCGCCGCCATAGGCGCCGCCGCCGCCGGCGTCGCCGCCCTGAGGCCCGCCCCACGCCGAGCCGCCGCCGGCGTAGCCGCCGCCCCCGGCGCCGCCTCCATAGCCTCCGCCGGCGGCGCCGCCCCCTTGGTTGGGGCAGTCCCTGCAGCAGGAACGGCAGTACCAGTACCAGCAGCAGCAGCAGTCGACCGCACAACCCCCGTTCAGCCGGCTGCCGGATGCACGCACGCACGATGCCGCATGTGCAGCATCAGCGCAGACCACCCGCTGACCTGCTCCAGTGCCCCGTCTGGTTGCACCTGCAGCGGGGCAGCAGGCACAGCGCCGGCGCACTGCTCAGCACCCAGCCGGCCAGCGGTCGCAACCAGCGAGCAGGTGCGTTGCGACGAAGCACGGCGGCGCGGGGCCCTGCGTGCCTCTCTCAGCCTGTGCGCTGCCAGCTCAGCTCACTTGTAGCACAGATCGTTGGAGCGGTCCCGCAGCGCGCCGCCGTCGGCGGCTGCCTGGAAGGTGCTGGCACCAGGCACGGGAGGAGGCGCGGCGCCGCCACCGTAGCCGTACCCTGCCTTGTAGGCGCCCTGGCTGCCGCCCTGCAGGCACGGCGGGCAGGCACGGCGTAGCAGAGCGGAGGTGGGCCCAGCTGGGCGAGGCGCGGCTATGATGCAAGCTACGTGCGGCAGGCCCAAGCACCAGACACACGCCAGCGCATGCGCCGGCCGGGCGGGCAGCCCTGCCTGCTGGCTGCCGTAGCCCGTGATGCGCCGCTTGGCGGCGGGGCTGCCGTAGCCGCCGCCGCCGCCGCCCGCGGCGCCGCCGTCGGCGGCACCCAGCTCATCCATCCACTTGAAATACGAGCAGGACTCGTTGGGGCACTTGACAAACTGCCTGCAGCGGCGGCCGAGGTGGGGAGTAGAGTGGTGCACCTAAGAACGGTGGCGCTGCGATCTGGCAGCTACGGAGGCCTCACACGACGGGTGGGTGCTGGGCAGAGGCGCTCGGCTGCGTGGCGCGCCTGTTGGGGTTCTTGGCTGTGTTGGAGGTGCGCTGCACGCAGGCGCCGCCGCAGGTGGGGCACAGCACCTCGCCCGCTGGGGGCGCGCCAAGCTGGGGCGGCGGCGGCTGCGGGGCGGCGGGGGCGCGGGCGGGCGCCGCCTGACCCCAGTCGTCTGCACGCAGGCAGGTGAGGCAAGGCTCGTTTGCATCCACTCTCAAGTTGCAGAGGTGGGGCGGTTGGCAGCAGCAGCAGCCGGGCCCCACCATCGTCCTCCTCGGCCAGCGCAGCCAGCTCTTCTGCCGAGTAGCCGCCCGCCGGCACCGGCGGCGCGCCCCAGCCGCTGCGCGCCGGCCCACTCTGCGCCTCCATGCCGCCCTTCTTCACGGGGGCCACCGACATCTCCGTTTGGGCGTCGCCATAGTCGTCCCAAGTTGAGACGCTGGGGCAGCCAGGTCGAACGTAGGCCATTGCGTCCGATCGCAGCTCCCTGGCTGCTATGCACACGGTGTGGGTATATCTGGTGCAAGCAGGCAATGCAGGAGGCGCTGGGGAGGTGTGGCAAGTTCAAGCTCCTGCTGAGGTCCCCCAGCACGCGCCCACAATGCTCCGCTTGCAAAGCGGAATTGGCTATTCGGAGTTGCCAGCAGCCTAAACGGCCGAGCGCCTCAGCTCAATCTCGCCTCCCCGCCTGCCTCTGGCTGGCGCTGGCTGACGCTCGCCGTGCCCCGCTCCGACATCGCTGCGTCGCCCGGCCAACAATGACTCAGCCACAGGCACAGTGACGATTTGTGTGGATCCTTCAAATCACAGAGGAATCTGAAGTGCCAGCAGCGTTCCTGAGAGCTCCTGTGACCTGCTAAGAACAGCGCTGACGCCTCCACTGGAGTGGCACATGGGGCGGAGTCTGCGCACGCGAGGCTTCGGACATCTCATCGCAGGTATGAGCGTCTTAATGCTGCGCAAGCTCTCTGATGTGGTCTTCACATCAATCGCCACTTCTTCCAGCTCCTCCCGATTGCTGGAGAGCTCTGCCGCCTGTAGATGGCGGCAGGTGTGCGACGGCGCCTGCCCTCCTCCGCGCGGCACGCAAGCTGGTCAACTAATTCCATCCACCATTGCTCAAACAACAGTCTACAGGCTGAGTTTTCCTGGCGCAATTCTCAGAAACAATTGCCTGTGTGACCTGCAGCGCCGGCCGTCGGGTGGGACAGCGGGAGTACTGCTGCACTGAGCAGGCGCTCATGCATGGGGCCCGCCGGGGCATTCTCATAGCATATTGCAGACGTGAGATCACCTAACTTACCAGGGCCAGGCCTGGGACTGCCCCAGGAGGGCACCACCGTTGGAATGCAGCAAGTGTTGATCGCCCCCTCGCCCAACTGGTGCGCACCGGGTCCAGGGCACTTGATGGGCGGCATGCCGTGCCGCAACGCCCCGATGGTGCCCTCGATGGTGCCCGCCTGACATGCCGCTGCCGCTGCCGCCGCCGCCGCCTGGCGCGGTTCTCTCCCGTGTGCAGGTATGGCGCCCACACCGCCGACTGGGTCCCCGAGCTGGGCCTATACGCCTATGCCGCACAGAACACAATCGTGGTGCTCAACACGCGGGGCAGGGCGGTGCGGACGCTGCTCTCGGGCCACACCAACAGGTGGGCGGCAGGGCTGCAGCGCTGGGCGGCGGCGGCGGGCCTGCTGCTTGCCACGCTGGAGCGGCAAGCGGCCCACACTGGCGGCACCGGAATGCTTGCCCTCGACGCCTTTTGCCGCTGCTGCTACTGATGCAGGGTGACCGCTGTGGCGTTTGCTGGCGGCGCGGCCCCTGGCGCCGCTGCAGCAGCAGCAGCAGCAGCAGGGCCGGACGGTGGCGGCGTGCCCGCGGCCCTGCCGCCGCTGCTCGTGTCGGCGGCAGCGGACCGCACGCTGCGGCTGTGGAACGCGGCCACCATGCAGCGGCAGCGCGCTCTGTACAAGCGGCCGGCGGAGGTGACGGCGCTGGCGGTCAGCAGGTGCGAGGCCTGGGCTAGGCCTGCGCTGCGGGGAGGGCCTGCTTGGTGGTGCATGCTCAGCCGCTGCTGCTGCCCTGCTGCGCCTGGCCGCGCGTATAATGGCTTTCCTTTTAGGTTTTTCTTTTCTGTTCTTTTCAAAAAAAGAAAAGAGCAGGGCTCCGGCCTGCAGCTGCGTCCCTTGGCCGTCGCCCCGCTGAGCCGCTGAGCCGCACGCACGCCTCGCCGCCGCCCTGCTGTCGTGCCTGCCTGCAGCGACGGCGCGACCGCTCTGGTGGGCGACAAGGCTGGCGCCCTGTGGGCCTGGGACCTCGCTGACCCCTCCTCCAAGCCAAGCAAGCTGGCCGGCTGCAAGCAGGCCTCGCAAGTCATGTGCCTGGCAGCCGCCCCCGCCGGCAGCGCTGCCACTATGGGTGCCATCAGCGGTGCAGGCGGCGGCAGCGGTGGCAGCGGTGGCAGCGGCGGCGGCGGTGGCAGCGGCGGCAGCGGCGGCCTGGTGCTGGCAGGCTACGCAGACGGCGGCGTGCTGCTGCTGGACTGGCGGCGGGACTGCCTGGTGCGGCGCCTGGAGCGGCATGCCCGCGAGCTGCACTGCGTGCGCTGGCTGGCGGCGCCCGACCCTGCGGTGGCTGCCGCCAGGGCTGCCGCCCAGGCTGCCGTCGCCGCTGCGGCGGCGGCGCTGGCAGCTGCCGACGAAGGCGAGCCTGCTGCCGCCGCCGGCAGCGGTGCGGGAGAGGAGCCGGCGGCGGGCGGCGGCACTGCCATGCCTGGACAGGAGGAGCAGCAGCAGCAGCAGCAGCAGCAGGAGCAGCCCGCTGGCAGCGCGGGCGAGGCCGAGGCTCCGCCGCCGCCGCCGCCGCCGCCACCGCCCCAAGAGCCGGAAGCAGGGGCGCCTGCCGCTCCGGCCTCGGCCGCGGCGCCTCCCCCAGCCTGGGAGGTGATGCTCTCCTCTGGTGCTGACGGGGCGCTGCGCCTGTACTGCCTGGTACCTGCGTCCAGCCCAGGCGGCAGCTCCCAGTTTCGTCTGGTGGCCACGCTGCGCCTGCCCAAGCCCCACGCCGGCCTCACCAGCAGCCAGACCAGCAGGCTGTGGTTCACTGCGGCCGTGGTGCCGCCGCCGCCGCCCGCCGTGCCGCGCACCGCGGCAGCAGGCGGCGCGCCGGCAGCTGAGCAGGCCCGGCAGCAGCCGCAGCAGCAGCAGAAGCAGGATTCCCAGCAGCAGCAGCAGCAGCATGTGTGGCTGGTCACCTCTGCCCACGGCGGCAGCCTGCTGGCCTGGAAAGTCACCCTGCCACTGCCCGGCGCCGAGGCGCCGGCACCAGCGCCGGCGCCGCCGCCTGCAGCAGCACGGGGTTCGGCTCAGGACAGCTGGCGCCGCTCTCCGGCCAAGGCTGGGCCGGCGCCTGGCACCGCCGCGGCCGCCGCCGCCGTCGTCGGCCCCTGCAGGGTGCCCATCACTCACAGCCGCACAGTATTCACCCTGCATGCCGCCACCCACCAGCCAGACCAGGCTGCCCCTTGCTCTGCCGCCGGCGACGGCAGTGATGCAGCGCCCGCCGCCAGCGGGAGCGCCGGCGGCGGCGGGGAGCAGCCCGCGGAGCCGCCGTCGCCGCTGGCAGCGCCGGTGCCCCCACTGCTGCAGCTGCTGAGCAGCAGCATGGACCGATGCGTGTTGCTGTCCCAGCTGCCGCACCCGGGAGCAGCGGCGCAGGCTGCGGCGGCAGAGGAGCCAGAGGAGGGCTCCTGGCGGCGCGACTCTGCAGCCAGTACCACCGCGGAAGCCGCCTGGCGCCAGGCGTGCGTGACGTGGCGCCTGACCGGCCTGGGAGGCTACGTGTATGGCCTCAGCCTGCTGGTGCCGCCACCCCAGCCTCCCACGCTGCAGCATGAGGCAGAGGAACAGCAGGAGGCGGCGCCAGCCGGGGCGGCGGGGACGGGCGGCGAGGAGGAGGACGCGCCGCCGCCGCCGCCGCCGCCGCCGCCGCCGGGCGAGCCGCCTGCGCTGGACGGGCATGCAGCCGCGGGGGAGGAGGCGGAGCGGGAGCAGGGTTCGGCTCAGCAGGGGGCGCGGCAGGAGCAGCAGGAGCAGGGGGCGCAGCCGCCTTCTCGGCAGCCCTACCTGCTGGCGGTGGCGTGCGGCGACAGGACCATTCGCGTGCTGCCGCTGGGCCCCGCCGCCGCCGCGCGCCGCGGCGCGGAGCAGCAGCGCCACCAGCAGCTGCTGCTGTGGCAGAGCATCCCCGACAAGGTGACGGCGGTGGCCTGGCAGCCGCTGGCACCGCCATCGCCACAGCAGCAGCCTCACGCAGACCGGGCTGCGGCAAACGTGGGCGCCGCAGCCGTGGCCGCAGCCGTGGCCGCAGCCGCGGACGCGGCGGCGGCGGCGGCGGCGGCAGCGCCCGCGGCGGCGGCGCTGGCATTTGGGTGCGAGGACGGCAGCCTGGGCCTGATGCTGCCCAGCCGGGAGCAGGCGCTGCTGCTGCCGGTGAAGCACGAGGTGAGGCGTGCCGCCGGCTGCGCTGGGTGGCGGCGCAGCCTTCACCAGCACCACCAGGCCATGCAGTTTAGGTTTTCTTCTTGTCCATTGGATTCGATGAGGGCCGCCATTCCAATGCATGATACCAGCGCCAGCTGCGGAGGGCTGACGTGGCATGCGTCTCTCTCACGGTGCAGGGCTCTGTGTTGGATGTGCGGTGGGCCCCCCCTGCCGCAACCGCCGGGGCGCCGGGCCAGGCCGCGGTACAGCTGTACAGCCTATCTGCTGACGGGGCGCTGCTGCTGTGGGCCCCGCTGCCCCTGCCGCTCTCCGACCTCTTCTCCAGCGCCGGCAGATACTCTGCTGGTACCGCTGGTACCGCGGCCGGCAGCTGGGGTCCAGCTGGCGCCAAGGCGGCAGTCGCGCTGGCGAGCCCGCTGGACGTCGGCGCGCACCTGGGAGCGGCGGCGGCGGCGGCGGCGGCGGCGGGGGTGCCGGGCGTGCCCGCCGAGGCGGCCGCCTGGTTTGGTGCTGGACAGCAGCAGCAGCAGCAGCAGCAGCAGGCGATCACAGCGCTGGCGCTGCCGCCGCCAGACGGCCTAGGCATGGCAGGCGCCGTGGGAGAGATGGCGGGAGGGGCAGGCGCCGGCCACGTGCTGGCTGTAGCGGCCAGGAACGGCGCGGTGGCGGTGCTGCGTGTGGCGCTTGTGGCGGCGGCGACCGCGGCAGAGGCGGCCGCTGGCGAGGTGGCACTGCGCATGCTGTGGTCGCGCGGCGGCGGCGCGGGCGGCAGCGGCGGCGCGAGCGACGCCATCAGGCACGCTTTCTTTTTTATGTGTTATTGCTCTTGTGCTGCGGCCGCGCCATGTCTTTCCAGGTTGCCGAGTGCTCTAAGCCCGACTCACACCGCCTCCCCTCCCGCGCCTGCCGCTGCCCCCCTGCAGCCACCTGTGCTTCTCCTGCGATGACCTGCAGTTGGCGGCGGCAGCCGAGTCGGGCCTGCTGTCCGTCCACCCCTGGGCAGCAGAGGCGGCGCCGCCGGCCGAGCGCGCCACCAATGGCATGGCGGCAGCAGCTGCAGCGGCCGCCAGCACAGGAGCAGCCCAGGCCAGGCTGCAGCTGGGATGCACGGTCACAGCGCTGGCGTGGATCGGCGGCGCCGGCAGCGGCGACGCGGCTGGCGGCGAGGAGGGGTGCGGGGCCGCCCTGGGCGGCGGCGCCGGCGGCATGCTGGCTGCCGCCCTGGTCAGCGGCGGCATTCAACTGATCGACTACCACCCCGGCAAGGGCGCGGGGGCTCTGGTGCCGACAGCCCTGCTGCGGGGGCACAGCGGCCTGGTGCGCTGCCTGCACTGGTTGCCTCCAGAGCCTCCGGAGCAGCAGCAGGAGCAGCAGGCGGCGGGTGTGCCAGGCGTGCATGGGCCGCAGGAGGCTGCTCAGCAGCCAGCTGCGCTGCAGCAGCAGCAGCAGGCTGCTCAGGGAGAGCAAGCGCAGCAGGCAGAGGCGGCGCAGCAGCAGCAAGAGGCAGCCCCAGAGCAGGAGCAGCAGCAGGAGCAGGAGCAGCAGGTGGGGGAGCAGCGGGCCAGGCTGTTCCTGCTGTCGGGTGCCGAGGACCAGTCGGTGCGGCTGTGGGACATCCGCCGCCAGCTGCTGACCTGGCAGCAGCGCCAGCAGGCAGCCGCTGCGGCCGCGTCTGCGTCTGCCGCTTCCGCGCCTGCCGCAGCGGCAGCGAAGGAGGGCCCTGCAGCTGGGGTGGAGGTTCCGGTTGCGGCGCAGCAGCCGCAACCGAATGGAGGCGAGGAAGGCGGGGACGGGCCTGCGCAGGGTGGCGAGCCGCCGCCGGGGCCGGTAGGCGAGGCGCCGCCGGCGCCTCCGCTGCCGGCGCCGGTGCCTGCAGAGCCAGCAGCTGTGCCGCCAGGCAGCTCCGCACCTGCAGCAGCAGCTACACCAGAAGCACTCCCTCCAGCGCTGTCTGCGGCCCCCGCGCTTGCAGCAGCGGCGGCGCCAAGCAGCGGTGGCGCAGCCCCGGCCGACGCGCCCGCCGCCGGCAAAAAAAAGGCGGCCAGCCTGGGCAGCCGCCCCATCCTGCCGCCCGCACAGATAGAAGAAGCGGACCGGGCGGCCCAGCGGGCGGCGCAGCGGGCGTGCCTGCGGCTGGCGCGGCAGCTGCTGCAGGCAGGCCACGAGCAGCCGGTCTGGCAGGCTGGCGAGGAGGCTGGCGAGGGGGGTGGCGAGGGGGGTGTGCCACCGCCTCCCCCGCCCCCACCTCCTGACCCTGATGCCTCCCTGCTCCTGGATTGCGCTGTGGATCCGCTGTGCGCGTCTCTAGCGCTGCAGCGGCAGGCGGCGGCGCTGGGCGCCGGCGCCGCCGCCGCTGCTGCCGCTCCCAGCAGGCTGCTCGCGGCGCAGCGCGGTGCGGCGGCGGCGCTGTTGCGTGGCGACGTGGCAGCTGCCGTGCAGCTACTGCTGGAGCATGATGCGCTCACAGCAGACTTTGTCAGCATGAGCGCCGCCGCAGGTAGCTGGCCCGGCTGCCTGCCTGCCTGCCTGCCTGCCAGCTGGGCTGCGGGTGTGTGGTCCCTCTGCCTGCTGCAGGCCTGCCCCTTGCGCTGCCTGCTGGCGCCGCATGCCTTGGCTGCGCGCCTGCGCCCAAGCATTAACACGCTGCCGCCGCCGCCGCTGCTGCTGCTGCTGCTTGCTGATGCAGGCCTGGCGGCGTGGCGGGCGGTCACTCTTGCGTATGCCGCCAGGCTGGAGCACCAGCAGGAGCCGCACCTGGCGGCTCTGCACCTGCTGGCGGTGCGGGAGGTGGAGGCGGCGGTACAGGTGGGCGGGGCTCGTGCCGGCAGCAGTACCGCTGAGGTCCTGTGTGGATCGCGGCGCCAGCCAGCCAGCCAAGCAGTGGGTTCCTGCTCGTGCCTGCATGTGGCATGGGGCTCTGCTCCCTGGTCTGATAGAAGCGGGGGGGTGCTTGTGGAATCAACGCGCATACACCAACACACGCTCTCTGGTCGCCGCTGGCCCGCCCGTACTGCAGGTGTACCGCCGGGCTGGGCTGCTGCGGGAGGCGGTGGCGCTGGCGTCGGCTCGCCTCCTGCCGGGGAACCCCCTGCTGCTGGTGAGGGCCGTGGGGCTGCGGTGGTGGTGGTGGCTTGAGGGGTAGGCAATATCCATGTCTGGTGCCACACCCTGCTGTCGCCCTTCTGGCATTCACGTCAAACTTGAAAGTGGCGCCCACGGCTGCTTCCCGCTGCGCTTTGCTGCGCAGGACCTGCACGCCGCCTTCGCCGCCCAGCTGGCCGCCCAGGCGCAGCACGAGCAGGCGGCGGCGCACCTGGCCGCCGCGGGCCGCTGGGCGGGGGCGGCGGCCGCCCTGGGCGCCAGAGGCACCGCGGCTGCTGCTGCTGCCGCCGTGCAGCTGTGCCGGCACGCGCTGGCGCAGCTGGGGCCCATGGAAGGCAGCCAGCTGCAGCAGCAGCTGGCTGCCTCAGAGAAGCTGCTGGCTGGGCTGGCTGAAGCGGAAGGTGTGGATGTGCCCGCGCTGCTGGCTGAGGCCGCTGCCGCGGCCGCAGCGGATGCCTGGGCGCCCTCGCCACCTGCCGCGGCTCCGGGAAGCGCTCCCGCAGCGCCGCCAGCTGCAGTAGGTGGCGGCGGCGGCCAGCCGCGCCGCCGCTACTCGGCCCAGCAGCTGCTGGCGGCAGGCGCCGGGGTGCCGCCTGGGCGCCTGGCGGGCCTGCCCGAAGGCCTGGCCAGCAGCGGCAGTGCAACGGGCCCTGGCACCAGCGGCACCCGCAGCAGCGGCAGCAGGGCACGCTACTACAGCCTGCAGGCGCTCCTGGAGCTCTCAGACTCGGCAGGGCAGCTGGGCCCGAGCGCGCAGCAGGTGCTGCGCAAGCGCCTGCCGCCAGAGCTGCTTCAAGAGGCCGCGGGAGCGGATGAGAAGCCCGGGCCGGGCCCATAACGGATGCGGCCTGCAATCTTCGGCAGCCACCTAGGCGCAGCCATGCCACAGCAGCTATAGCGATCCACTGGCGTTGCCGCTGTCTTCATTGTTATGGTGCCACGTCGCCAACGCAGTGCTGCTTACAGCGGAACATCATGTGGATCTGTCTTGGCACAAACCGCCATGCATTGTTGGTGCAAATAGCGCACCGCCCCGCTTGAGTAGATTCACCATGTCAGTTGTAGGCTAGAACATTGCTTGCAACCACTAGACTTCAGTTGCATGAGCGAGAATCAGCATGATGTTAACAGGCATGCCCCTGAGCGGTGCCTGGCAATGAGCGGCGGCGGCGGCGGCAGGCAGCAAGGCGGCGATGAATCTCGTGGGCCGATAGGGCAATTGACGACGCATCACTTGCATGCAACTGGGACACGGGGCGACGGGCAGCGCAACAGACCGAATGCAACCGGCCGCTGTCCGCTGGAGATGCCACCCCCGCCTAAACTGCCTTCCCGTCCCACCGCTCGAAACGTGAATCGCTTAAATTCACTGTGCACCGAGAGGGCAGGTTTGTCCACCTCTGCAGAGCTCTGCGCGCCCCTCGCCCGGCAAACCTGTTACCCCACGCTTGTATGCCTCCATGGCCGGTCCAGTCACCCCATCTGTGCTAGCGTCCAATCCGTAGCAGCGGGGGTAGGGCTGCAGGGGCCCGACAGTGATGGCCGCGATGCTGCCTCTTTTGCTGGCGGTCTGCCTGGGCCAGGCTGCAGCCTTTGTGCCCAGGCCGGATGTCTACAAGCTGCTCCCAGCCACACCGGTGAGGGGAGGCTTTGATGGGACACATACGCCGGCCGTCCGCCAGCGGTCACGCTGCCACTCACACTCACAGCTGGTAGCTTGAAGCCTGGTGGTGCCCCCATTGCCTTGCCCCAGTCAACAAGTGGCGCTACGTCCCGCTGGGTATGCCCCACAACCCCAACCTGCAGCACCCCGCCATGAAACAAGCGGCGATGCGGCCGGCGGCGGCGACCGTGTCGCCAGATGCGCAGCGCGTGCTGGTGCTGGCGCTGACAGTCTGCAACGAGACTGCAGCAGAGTTTGGCTACCCCATTGACGCCTCTGTGAGCAGGAGGGAGCGGAGGAGCGACAGCTGGCAGTGGTGCCTGGTGGCAGCGGCGGCAGTGGCAATGTACATGCTGCGCTTCTGTGTCGGGGGTCGCAGGGAAGGCACACCCTTGGGGCCCCCTTTCGGTCCCTGGCTGTGCACCACGTACCCACGCCTCACCCTCCCGCCTGCCCGCCTCCCCCGCCTGCTGGTACTGCCCGGCAGGACATGCGTGCTCCCGTGCTGAAGGAGTGGGACAGCGTGGCCGCCACCTGGCAGTACTGCTCCTCCGGCCGCCTGCTGCTCAACCGCACAGACTCTGTCTTTGTTGATGGTGCGCCCGCCCGCCCGCTTTATGCCCGCTGGGCAGCCGTGGATGCTGCTCCCTGCACTCGCCGCCGCCCGCCGCCTGTGTCACTCTGCCGCCTCTGCTGCACCTTTCCCTGCCACGGCACGCGCTGCTCCTGCTGCCGCTGGTCTGGGCGAGCCCGCGCCCCAGCGCCTGCTCGCCTCCCAGAGCCTGCCCACCTCCCACCTACGCCGCCGCCCCGCGCCTGCCCGCGCCTGCCTGCGTGCTGCAGTGGACGTGGGTTGCGCGCACGGACGCATTCCGAAGCGGTACAACGCCACGTACTGCAGCTCCGCCTACGACCAGCAAGTCTCGGCGTACCTCAGCCTGGGCCTCAGCCTGGTGGAGGCCCGCGGCTTCCTCCCCCGCGACTTTGGCTTTGTGACCGGCGCCTTCCCTGAGTGGGGCTGCCCCTGGGCGGGTGCGTGCCAGCGGGGCAGGCTGGGCGTGGCCGGCTGGGGCTGGATGCCCAGACCGGGCACCGCGGGAGCGCCGCAGCGCACGGCTGGCACACCGACACCACCGCGCCTGTGCGGCTGCTGCAGGGTATGCATACGTGGGCGGCATTCGCTCCATGTTCTTCTCCCCATACATGCGGGACACCTCTCTTCTCATGCACGAGATGGGGCACTCCCTCGGCCTGTGGCACGCCGCCGCCGTCCCGAGTGAGCCCCCGCGCCGCGCCAGCCGCCGCCCGCGCAGCCGCGGCAGGCGGGCCGTGCAGCGCAGGGCGGCGCGGCGCCGCCTGGCCGCACGGCTTTGCAGCCGGGGCTCGCTGCTCGGCATGCTTCCAGCGGGAAAGGCGCAGAAGGGCCGGTGGCGGGCTTGGCGCGGGGAATCCGGCGAGCAACCTCCTGGCTTTTCAACCAACCTCTAACCTGCCCGCATGATTCCTTGCCCTGGCTGCAGGCCTGATTGACCCGCAGCTGCTGCAGCAGTACGGCGGTACTGCAGAGACGCTGGAGGTGCGCCACCTCACTCCGCTGCACCTCCGCCGCCACCCGTGCTGTCACGGCGAGGACGGATTGGTCCCCTGCCTGCCCTCCCTTCTCACCTTCCTCCTTTGCCGTGCTTTCTACCGCTGCCACTTCCCACCTCCACCCCGTGCCTGCAGAACCGCGAGTATGGTGACTGGAGCAGCATGATGGGCAGCGGGGTGGAGACGCCGCGCTGCTTCAACCTGTTCCAACAGGAGCTGCTGGGATGTGAGTTAGTTGGTTACAGGCACCTGCAAGAGCTGGATGCGTGCCTCCCAACCGCCTGGCTTGGTGTGTGTGGGGGGGCGGGTGGGAGGGGTGGGGACTGGGGGGCAGCTGGCTTGTGCGGACACCATGGCAGGCTCTGTTGCGGGCCTGTGGAGCTGCACCGCTCCGTTCCTGCCGCACCCTGTGCAGGGCACTCCCCCAGGCAGCTGGACGCCACCAGCCTGCCGCCCGGCAAGTGGCTGAAGCTGACGCTGCCAGACACCTTTGCTGACCCCACAGGCGAGGCGGCAGCAGCAGCTACCCAGCCGCTGCCAGCTTCTGCCCGCATGCTGCCAGCTTCTGCCTGCATGCTGCTTGTGTGGCGCTTGAGCGCCAGCCCACCACCACCCACCCCTTCACTCAAAAATCCGCCTATGCCAGCCACCCCAGCATTGCTTACGGAAGCAACTGCCTGGCTGGCGGGGCAGGCTTTGGCCGGGCGGTCTCGCGCTGATGCGCGCCGCTTCCTGTGCTGGGCTGCCTGCAGGCGGCATCCGCATCAACCCCACGTGGAGGGCAGACATATACTGTGAGCATCACGTGCCAGCAGCATAGCTATGGCAGCATAGAGCAGCTGCCGGTGACAAGCACATGTATATCTGCGCAGGTCGCCCACCTGCCCACTGCCTGCCTGCCTGCCCTCCCTCCCCTCCCTGGCTGCAGCCCCCAGCGTGTACATCAGCTATGTGCCGGCGCTGGGCTCCAACCGCGGACTGCACCCGCGCTTTGCGGTACGTTCCCCGCTGCCGCCGCCACTGTGCCCATAGGAACTCATTGGCAGCGGCCTTGCAGGGAATCCTGGTCATCTGTGCAGGGAATCCTGCCCTGCCTGCCGCACAGCGTGCCGACCCTTTTGCAGACCCGCTCGCCACCCTGCACCCCTCTCCGTGTTGCCTGCAGGACAAAGTGTACGTGCACCTGCCGTTTGACAGCTGGAATTCCAAGGCCGCAGGTGCCCCGCTGCATCGATGCGCGCTGCTGCCTGCCTGGGCGCTGTTCGCACCGCCGAGTGCTTGATGCCTCCACCCCTCTGCCGGGCCTTGCTCTGCGCGCTGCCACGCTCTCACACGCATGCTGGGTGTGACCCGCAGACTCTATGCTGGTGGGAAAGCTGAGCCCTGGGGAGCGTTGGTCCTCGGTAGGCGCTCTCACGCCCCGCACCCTGTGCCATTTGCCTGCCTGCTGGTCGTCGCCATGCCCATGCCTACAGAGCATGCGTGCTTGGTGGGATGGCTCAGCTGCCTGCGCCTGATGACATGTGTCGCCTGCGGTTGATGGAAGTTTGCGGCTGCCTGTGCACCTACTGTACTGCAGGAGATGCTCATGGATTGGGAGAACGAGCTGGTGGTTCACTTCCACTACAGCGGGGGTGAGCCCTCCTCCGCTTGCCAGCGTGGCAGGCCTACCCCCGGTGCTCCCTTCCACTGCCTCTGCTCTGTGCTGGCACATGCCCAGCCCACCCAGCCCACCCAGCCCACACACTGCATCACAGCTGATGGATGCGACGCCTGCTGCCTGCCTGCCCGCAGGCCCGGTGGGCGGCAAGCTCCTGGCCGCGGTCAGCATCTGCCGGCCCGGCGGGACAATGACCTGCACCATGGGCACCACCGGTACGCCCCCCTGCCGCCCCTGCCGCCATGTCGGGCCGTCCCTTGCTGCACTGCTCTGCTGGCATGCCGTTCTGCGCTGCTTGGTCTCAGAGCTTGTGCCGACCTCAAGTGCGATACTATAGTGAGCTAGCTGGCAGCTCAGGCTGGCCCCACCTGCTGTGCATGATGTGCAGCCGGCGTCCACATCAAGACCTTCCCCCTGCAGAGCGCCGCCGGCAAGTGAGTGGCGCCGCCGCATGCAGCTGTACTGCTGGGCCTGCCGGCAGGGCAAGCGCGTGCCAGGCATGCTGCGTCTGCAGCAGCCTAGCGTCTGTGTGTGGCGAGTTACACGCCGGCTGTGCAATGGAAGGCCGGGAAAAGAAATGGAGGCAGCAAGGCGTACTGCCTGCCCTTCTCATCCCGTACCGCTGCCCGGCGCTGCCGCGCCCATGCAGGTTTGCGCTGTCCCGCGGCAAGGACTGGCAGCTGGAGGCCAAGCCGGGCCAGTGGTACCGCCACTACCGGGTGGAGATGCCTGAGGAGTGCGGCAGAGGTGTGTGATCTGCCTACCTATACACCTATGTATACATATATATGTGTGTGTGTGGGGGGGGGGGTGGGGGGGGTGGAGCGGCAGAGGATCAGGCAAGCCGGCTGGCGCGCCACGCGCGCCTGCGCAGCCTGCTGCCCCTCCCAGCGCTTTCGACGCAGCTGCCATGCCAAGTCGTCATCAGCCGGTCGGGCTGTCGCATGCCTGTGGCTCGCGCGCGTCACCCCCCGAGCGGTGCCCCTCGGTCTGCCGCCACCCCCGTTGCCGCAGCCTGCTTCTACCTCCCCACCTGCCGCTACTTCACTTACCTCGCGTCTGGCTGGTACAAGACGGGCACCGGGGTGAGCGGCAGGGCATGCCGCCGTCTCCCCGCCTGTGCGCTGTCTTGTATGCATATGGCTGTGTGGCGCTGTGCCCGCTTGCCTCCCCGCGTCCCCACACCCCACACCTTCCATCCTCCCAAACGCCCTGCACGCCTCCCTCTGCGCAGCTCAAGGAAAACTGCTACCTTGTGAGCGGCGATGCGGAGCGCGCCGCCACGCCGGCCACCGACGCCGGCGTCACTTCCGGCCACGGTGGGCGTGACGCGCTGCCAGCTCGCGGCCCCGCACACCCTCCCGCTTCCTTGGCCGCCCCGCCGCGCTGCTGCCTCGCAGCGGCCAGGCTGCGGCTCTTGCACCCTCCACATGCTGCACGTGTGCTCTGGCTGTATGGATGTGGCATGCTGACGCGCCTGCCTTCCCGCCTGCTTGGATTCCGCCCGCCTGCCGTGGCGCAGTCCTGCGCGCCGGCGCGTCGCCGCCGCCCGCGCCGCCGCCGCCGCTGCCCCACCCGGGCGCCGGCATGGTGCCGGTGCGGCTGTACGGCGGCGGCGACCCCATGCAGGGTCGCCTGGAGGTGTTCTGGAAGAACAAGTGGGGCACGGTGAGCCTGGGGTGATGTGTGTGTGTGTGTGTGTGTGTGTTTGGACATGTTGGCACTCCTGCGCGCACTGCCTACCAGCCGCCCCTCCCACTGCCGCCCTGCCCGCGTGCCCTCACCCTTGCCCTCCTCCCAGCAAGGTCCATTCCCCTGCCCCACCACCCCACACCCCTCGCCCATCCTTTCCTCCTCTGCGCGTCCTTTCCTCCTCTGCGCAGGTGTGCGACGACTACGTGACCGAGGCGCAGGTGGCGACCGTGGTGTGCCGCCAGCTGGGCTACGGCCCCGGCCGCGCCGTGCTGGACTTTGGGGAGGCCTTCAACCACTCGGGGGCGGAGGTGGTGTGGTGGACGCTGCGGTGCGGCGGCGGCGAGGCCAGCGTGCACGACTGCCAGTGGAATTACGACCCCAACTGCGACCACAGCGAGGATGTGGGCGTGGTGTGCTCCGGTGAGCTGCTGGCTGCCGGCTGGGCGGGGCGCGTTTCTAGAAGGGCAGCTATGTGGGCGCGCATGGGGCGTGCCTGGGGTGTGCGGCTCTGGGTGTGCATGCGGCGGAGTCGGGAGGCTGCCGGGCGCACGGCGGGCCGGACCTGGGCTGCTGCCGTGGGCGAGCAGCGAAACGAACGGTACAGAAACGGCGGCCCTGGGCGCCGGCGAGCCGAGCCGCACCTCGTCCCCCACCCACCACACCGGACACTGATCCCGCCCATGCCTGCAGTGGCGCCGCCGCCGTCCCCGCCGCCGCCGCCGGCCCCGGCCCGCCCGCGCATCGAGTCGTTTGAGCTGGTCGGCAGCGCCAGCGGCGCAGAGGGGCGGCTGGAGGTGGTGGTGGGCGGCCGGCGCGGCACGGTGCGTGCCTGCGCCTGCATCGCATGCCTGCGTTGCGCCTCTCTGTCTCCCTGTGTGTGTGCTCCAGGGGGCCTCTGCCTGCGGCCTGCTTGCCTGTACCCTTGGCCTGCTTGCCTGTACCCTTGGCCGGCTGCACTGCCTGTTTCTCCTGTCCTGCCCTGCCTGGGGCATGCGCTCTGTAGATGCCCGTGCGCCTACCGTCGCCTCAGCCCGCCGCCGCCCCACCCCTTGCCTGCACTGCAGGTGTGCAACGACGGCTTCACCCAAGAGACAGTGTCGGTCATCTGCAGGCGAGCGCCGGCGTGAGAATGGCCCGCAGCAGGCTGTCGGCTCGCCTGGTTCGCTGGCGCAGGCGCCCGGGTGCCCTGTATTGCTGCCCCTGTTGCCGCCAGGCCGCCCCTGGCACGCACCACCCCTGCGGGATGCTGGCTCCACCCCCTGCCCAGCCTCCCTTCCCCCCCGCTGCCCCCTCCCCGCAGGCAGCTGGGCCTGCCCGCGGGCTCGCTGACGGGGTGGGCCGAGTACGGCAGCCCCGTGGGGCAGCAGGTGCTGCTGGCTGACCTGGCCTGCAACGGATCCGAGGCCTTCCTGGCGCAGTGCCCCTTCAGCCTGGACCCCGCCTGCGGCCACACCGAAGACGTGGCCATCCGCTGCACCGGTGCGGCTGCTTTCCTTCAAGGAAGGAAAAGCCGCTTTTTCGAAAGTTTGTTTGTTTGTTGATTTACATCACAAGGCAGCGCTGGCAGGGAGGGCGGCGGGGTGGGGCGGTGCGGCGGCGTAGGGGGCAGCACAAGGGACGGCCTGTAGGCATGGCTTGGTGTGTGTCCCGCTGCTGCGTGCGCTGGGGGCCCGCGCAGCACGCTCAGCACGCCCCCCCCTCTCTCTCTCTTCTCACACTCACATTCACACTCACACTCACACTCACTCTCTCGTCTGCCCTCCCCTGCAGAGCTGCCGCCGCCCCCGGCGCCGCCCGCGCCGCCGCCCGCGCCCTTGACCCGCGTGCGCCTGGCTGGCGGGCCGGATGCCAGCGAGGGGCGGCTGGAGGCGGAGGTGGGCGGCATGTGGGGCACCGTGTGCGATGATGAGTGGGGACCCATCAATGCAAAGGTGGGGCGCCCGCCGCTGCCTGCCAGGGTACCGCCAGGGTACTGCCTGCCGGCTGGCCAGCTGGGAGGGAGGAGGGGGTCCCCACTTGCTAGCAAGAGGGGCCCTGCTGCCTGTCGCCGTGCGGGCAGGCCGTTGGCGCCGGGGCCCGCGCTGCCGCAGGCGCTATGTCTGTATGCCCAGGCGCCTGCCGCAGCGCAGCAGCGTGCCCTGGCCGCACCCCACCCGCCGCCTCCCAGCCCTCGGGAACCCTCACCCCCACACCCGCGCATGCACACACCTTTGCAGGTGGTGTGCCGCCAGCTGGGGTACAGCCAGGGGGGCCAGGTGTTCCGCCTGCCCTCCTCCTACGGCGCCAGCCGCCTGCCCATCGTGCTGGACGATGTGTCCTGCGCCGGCGGCGAGCCGGGCCTCTCCTTCTGCGCCTACGCCACCGCCCACGACTGCAGCCACGAGGAGGATGTGGGCGTGCGGTGCACGGGTGGGTGGGCGGGCGGCTGGGGGGCCGCCGCCCCGCAGGGGCTGCATGTGGGATCTGGGCGGCTAGGGAAAGTAGCAGGCTAGTAAGAAAGCTAGGCAGGGGTGTGCGTCTGGAGCGGTAGGTAATGCACTGTCCACATGGCCACCCTTCTGTCATCTGTGCAGTCACTCCGCGCCCACCTCCTCCGCGCCCACGGCCCCCAAAGCCGCCGCCGCCAAGGCCCAGGCCGCCTCCGCCGAAGCCCAAGCCCCCTCCGCCGCGCCCCAAGCCTCGCCCGCCGCCCCCCACGCCTCGCCCGCCGCCGCCTAGGCCCAAGCCGCCGCCCAGGCCACGCTAAACCTGGGAGCGTGCCGGCACGGCAGATATGCTGATTTTGCACTGGAACATTGTGCATTAAACCATTGTTGTGTTGAGGGCTTGTTGATTTTATTCAAAGATGGTTGCTGTAAACACACGGATAGAAGGAATGAAATGGTTCGTTCTCAAATCAAAGCTCTTGGAATCGTCTCGGAATCGCAGTCTGGTCAATCCAAGGTGCCTGCCAGTTGAGGCACGCAGGGCAGCTCCCAAGGCGCTGGTTGAGGCAGTGGCGCGCACAAGACAGAGCGTGGGGCCTGGTGATGGAGCGTGGGGCCTGGTGACAAGGCCCGCCTGCCGCTGTTGTGCCGTCTTGCTGCTCACTCACCACGCCTCAAAGGGTGCACCCGTGCTGGGGGGCACCCTGCTGCTGACGGCATCCAGCTCCGCCACCTGTGCATCAGTCAGGCGCCAGCCCAGCGCCCCGGCCGCCTCCTCCACCTGCTTGGCATTCTTGGCTCCCTGCCAACAAGGAACACAGAGGGACGCGCGGCCGGGTGAGCAGCAAGCAGGCATAGCAGAGGCAGGTGGGGCTTGGTACCCGCATGTGCCCCACCCAACGTGCCCCCGCAGCGAGCAGCAGCGGCAGACACCCAACCTGCCGCGCAAGATTGTTGCAGCAGCATCGGCAAACCCCTGGCCGCCTGGATGCATGCCTGAATGCAATCTGAAGCCACGCCGGGATGGCTCCTGATTGAATTATTAACTTTACTCACCGGGATGGGCAGCGCCCCCTTGCACATGGTCCAGTTAATGGCCACCTGGCCCAGCGTCTTGCCGCCCTGCTCCTCGGCCACCGCCCGCATGCAGTCCAGCAGCACCTGGCGCAGCAGGGTTGCGAGGGAGCTTGGGAGTGAGGCAGGAGGTGAGGGCAGGGCAGGGCAGGGCAGCGAGGCGGCTACGAGCGGCTGTGGAGCAGCAGAGGCGAGGCGGCAGGCAGGGCAGCAGGCCAGGCAGCTGGCAGGGTGGGGCGGGGCAAGGGAGCAGGCCAGGCAGCAGGCAGGGCAGCAGGCGGGGCCAGGGAGCAGGCAAGGGAGCAGGGCTCCCCACCTGTACCGAGCGGTACCGGTCCTCAGTGAACAGCTGGGCGCGGGGCCCCGTAGGGCGGTTGTCCTTGCTGTACTTGCCCGTCAGCAGCCCCTGCACACCAAGGCAGTACAGCCGAAGTACAAATCACGCGTCCCGCCCATTCTCTTCTTCTTCGTCTTCGCCTTCTTCTTCTTCTCGGCGGGCTCATGCAGCCCGGCATGTGGAGATGTGCGTGCGCAGAGCTGGCAGGGTGCCCGCCACCCGAGCAGGGCACCCTGCCACACGGTGGCGCAGCCGCTCCTGCACACGCACGCAACCGGTGCGGTGGGAGCTTGCGGCGCACCTGGCACAGCGGGCTGTAGGCCACCAGTGTGGTGCCCGTCTCCCTGCAGGCACGCAGGCGGGGCGGGTAGAGGGCTGGGCTGGGCCGGGGAGGGCAGCGGGCACGCGCGTAAAGGGCGCCGTTCACGGCGCCGCGCAGCGTTCCCGCCCCCGCCCCTGCCCCTGCCCTACCCCCTCTACGCGCCGCACCACAGCCACCACCCACACCCGCACCACACCTGCACCCGCACCACACCTGCACCCGCCACGACAGGCAAGCAGATGGGAGGGAGGCACACGCGGGCCCCGCCGCACCTGCAGGCCTCCATGACGCCGTTGGCCTCCGGCTTGCGGTACAGCAGGCTGTACTGCACCTGGTTGGAGCTGAGGCAGGTGCCGCGCGCTGCCAGCACCGCCGCCGCCTTGCGCGTGCGCTGCTCATTAAAGTTGCTGGCGCCCACCGCCTGCGCCAGGCCCTGCTCCCACACCAGCGCCAGGCCTTCCAGGTAGGCGTCGTTGGCCCAGGTGTTGAGGAAGAAACCGGGCCTGCAGCCAGACCCACCGGGCTCAGCGTTTCAGGCCAGGGGGCCGCCAGGCAGCGCTGCTGAGAGGGCGGGGTGGAGTATGTGGGGTGGCTGGCTGGGGCAGGCAGGCAGGCAGGCGAGCAGCGGGCGCCGGGCAGGCAGGCGGCTCGGCACGCCGACCGTCCAGCCTGAGGCGCGGCCCACCAGTGCTGGATGTAGAGTCCCATGCGCTGCAGGCCCAGCCGCTCGAGGCTCTTCCTGCACGCCCCCACCAGGCTGCCCGGAGTCTGACGCCAGGGCAGGGGCGCAAACTTGGTGGCGATTGTGGGCGAGGTGCCCGTCTCCCGCATGAACTGCCCCACAAACTCCTCCGACAGACCAAAGCCGTAGACTTCGGCTGCAGGGGGGTGTGGAAGACGGGTGGGTTGCACAGCAGGCAGGGGCAGGCGGGTGAGGGGCGCAGATGTGATGCCAGCTTTCGGTGGAGTGTGTGCGATGAGAACGGCTGGTGACCGCAGTGAGGCGCGCGCCGCTTGTTGTTCTGGCGGGTTGGGAGCTCACCCGTGTCAAGGAAGTCAATCCCGGAGGCGACCATGGCCTTGTAAGCCTGCGCGGTAGCATGCGGGGCGCAGCTTGGCTCAGCGCCGGGCTTGCAGGATGCGGAGCAGGCAGGCTCGATGCGGGGCCGGCGCAGCGCAGGGCGGCTGGCAGCACCCACCGTCAGGTTGGAGGGCCTGTCGATGTCGCTCTGCCAGTAGCGGGAGCGGTCTCCCCAGCTCCAGGCTCCCAGGCCCAAAGAGGACACCTCTAGGCCTGCAGAGCGGCACACAAGCAAGGTAGCGGCGGCGGCGGTGGGTGACTTGGCGTTGCGGCGGTAGCCCAGGGAACCATCACAGCCAACCGCAGGCCTCGCCGCTGCTGTGGATCGCACGGGTGCAGCGCCTGCGGCGGCAATTGAGAGGCGCAACAGGCTGGGGAAGCACGGTGTTCACCCGACTGGCCCAGTTGTGTGCGGTCCTTTGCTCCAGCGGCCACGGCGGCCTCTGTGGCGCTGCTGCGCACGATCAGAGCGCGCCGCCTGGGCCGTGCAGTGGCGGCCACTGGCACGCAGGGTTGTGGGGTGGTGACCAGCGTCTTGGACTGCATACTGCACAGATTCTGGGCCCGAGGGGTATATGAGGATTGGTTGAAGCCCCCAGAGGTTCTCAGGGCATGCCCAGCCTGCTGCGCCCCGCCGCCGCCCTGCTGGCGCCGTGCCCTGCCACGCGCACAGGGCCCCCCCACCCAAAGCCGCTGATGAAATCCAATATTTACACTGTGTGTCAGCTCCTGGACGGCTTTAGTAGGAGATGGTAATTAGTAAAGGGCTGTGGCACCAGGTGGAGTGGCAGGAAACAAAAGCGACCGTAGTGTACAGAACGGCTTGTGACGTGCGACAATACAAGCAGCGAAAGAAGGACCAGCGAACAGAATAATGAAAGAGGGGAGGGGCCAAAACCGCGCTTTGAATAGAGGGGATTGGGGGGGCTGCAAGGGGTGGGTGGGGGGCGGTAGGCTTGCTCGCGGCAATGCCAATGCCGTGCAATCGGTGCGGGCACGCAATCAAGCAGAGCAGAGGCGGGGCGCGCGCAAGCCGGCTTATGCAAAACGGTTGCACGCGCCCCAAATCCGAATGAGAATGGGGGGCGGTGTGGGGGTAAGGGAGTCCATCTGCGCCGCAGGGGCTGCATGCGCCCGGGCTGGGGGGCTGGCTCATACCGGTGCTGCATTCCGGTGCGGCATTCCGGGGCTGTGCATGGCTGGGCGGGGCTGCGTCGTGGCCTGCTCGCCGCCGCCTAGTAGGGCGGGCGGGGGAGGGTGGGCTAGTAGGGCTGGCAGGGCCGCGTGCGCCAAGGCAGTGTCAGCAGGAGGCTGAGGAAAATAGCCTCCCGGGGGAAAAGGGACACTGCAGAGGGGGGTGGTCATGCGTGGCTTGTGCGTCTGCGGCATGCATGGCTGCATGCGCTCTTGCGGTGCCGGGCGGCAGGCAGGGGGTGGGGGGGATGGCCAGGGCCCACAGGGAGGGCAATACGGTGTAAGTGGGGATGCGCAGAAATGAAATAGAATCATGAAAGGGGTACATGCGCTGGGGTTGTGGGGTGCGTGTGCGTTTTGGACGAAGAGGCGGGACATCCAATGGAACGAAGACGACAGGTGGGCATTTAGTAGGGCCGGCGGCGCGAGCCGCGGCAGCAGCCAGACGGAAGACAGCAGGTGGGGAGCGTAATATCAAAGTTGACAACACACACGGCGCCGCCATGGGCGGGCCACTGGGTGTGGAGGAGGCACGGGCCTCGCACCACGCGCGCCAGCTGCCCATGCAGCAACCACCAGGCACAAGCACGGCGGCCGCATGCACGGGGCCGCCAGAGCGCAACGAAATGCCAAGAGTTCTCAAAGGAAAACAGAGGCCGGGGGCCAGGCAGGCAGGCAGGCGGCCTCGTCCGGCGCGGCCTGAAGGGAGGAGCAGCAGGCAGGCACGCGCGTCAGTCAGTGGAGGAGCCGTGCAGAGGAGCGATGCAGAGCTTTCGCCGCGTGCCGAGGTGCGGCTGCCAACAGGCGGGCCGATGCATGGCTGCCACAGGCGGGCGCCGCCCTTGCGCACCTGCGCTGGCGGCCCATCCGGTGATTAGTATCTTCTTCTCAGACAAAGCTGCTGCCCTCCAGCTTGACGGCCGGCGGCGCGTGCTCGCCGCCGTGGCCGTGAGAGCCGTAGCCGTTGCGGTGCTGCGGCTGCTGCTGCTGCTGATGGAACACGGCGCCCAGGCTGGGCAGCATGGAGTGCTGCTGCTGGTGCGCGTGGTGCTGCTGGTGGTGGTGGTGGTGGCCGTTGCCCACCGGCACCAGCCGCTCCTGCACCGGGTCCAGGGGGCCGTGCCCCTGCTGCTGCTGATGCGCCTGAGGCTGCTGCTGCTGCTGCTGGGGGGCCCGGCTGCTGGGGCGGCTGCTGCGGGCTGCGCGTGCGCGTGGTGCTGCGCGGGCGCGCCATTGCCCTGGCCCTGGAAGTAGTGGTGGGGCGCCAGGTGGGTGGCCTCGCTGCCCGCCACCTGCTGCGCGCTGGGGTAGACATTGGAGTGGAAGAGCAGCTCAGGGCCGCCCACGTGGTGGGCATCCAGGTTTTGCACCAGCGTCTCTATGCGGCACGCCTCCGCCTTCTTGCTGCGCTGCGTCGACTCGGCCTCGCTCGTCAGCCGCTGCTTCACCGCCTGCCGCCGCACCGCCTGCTCCCAGCTGCTGGAGGTGTGCTCCGTGGTGGTGGCCGCGGTCAGCCCCTGCGCGCTCTCCGTCGTCGTCGACATCTGCTGCTGCAGGCGGGAAGGGTCGGCGGGGGGCGCAGGCGGCGGGAGGCGTGAGTGGGCGAGGGGGCGCAGGCGGCGGGCGGGGCTGGCAGCCGCGGCCAGGCCGGCGTGCGCAGCTGGAGCGAGGCACGCGAGGCTGCGAGGCTGCAGCCGGCAGGCGCGGGCTGCCGTGGCAAACAGGCGCCGGGCTGGGGCCGCCAAAGTGCGGCGGCTGCGGGCGCGCGGCGGGGCACGCACCTGGCGCTGCCGCTTGGCGGCCTGCCGCGGCGCGCTCTTGCCCGCGGAGCAGCCCACGTGGTGCTTGCCGGGGCGCAGGTCCTTGCCGCACTTGGGGCAGAACTTGAGCTCTGTGCCGTGGCCGCGCTCCTTGCCCGAGCCGCGCACGTCGGGCGGCGCCCGAAAGTGCACCTTCAGCCGCCAGAGCTCGGCGAAACTGCGGTTGCAGCCTGCAGGAGCGCAAGGGTTGGGCATGCTCAGGGGCCCGGGAGGCGAATGGGGGCGGTTGGCGGCCGCATTATCTGGAGGCCCCACAGCCAGTAAAACCAGGGCAGCTGCAGCAGGACCATGGGCTGCTGCGGCCCCAGGCCCCTCGCTCGGCGCTCCCATCGCCTCACCAGGGTGCGGACAGTAGAACCTGCGGGCAGGGAGGCGGGAGGGAGCCAGGCGCTGTGCAACCCCCCAGTGCCGTCATCCGGCAAGCCGTGCAGCGCCCAGGCCCTCCCGCTGCCCCCAGCCTCACCTATCAGGGTCCGGTCCGGTCACTATGCGCGCCTTCTCCTCATCCGTGGGCGGCTCGGCCCGCTTGCCGGTGTTGGGCATCCTGGGCTGCTGCTGGGCGGCCCTCTGAGGCCCCTCGCCGGCTGAAAACGCTTCCTGGAGCCCTTGGGAGGCTCCAGAGGCGAAAAAGGCCGAGTCTTGGGCTGGCCACTCGCTGCTCGCCAGTGCTGGGGCTCTCCGCTGCCTACCGCCTGGCCGACGTTTGCTGGGCTGACTGGCCCCGAGGCCGTCCCCACAGCCCGAAAAGGCGGGTCTTGAAGCCGCTGCTCCCCAGGCCACCGCAGGCCAAGTCGTGCTGGTGCTGCAGCCTCGCCGGGAGTATGTCCACAGCTGATCGTGGCGCCGAGAGGTGTGAGGTTCGCTATTTTGGAGGCCGCGAGCGTCCGCGCGGTGGCTGTGACGCTGTCCCCAGCGCTGGCTCGCCAGGGTCTCAGGCTGGCCAACGCCCCTTGCTCCCCGTCGGTGCCAAGGCACATTGTGCAGATCCGCGCTCCCTGGGACCCGCACGATCATTGCCCAGCATTTGAGCGGGGGTATGGGGTACGCGGGGCCCAGCAACCCACGCAACGACTGCCGCGCCTGCCCAGCGCCCCCCTGGCTAGCCGCGCCCCCCTGTCGACTCTGCGGGGCAAGAAGCGCGCTTGTGGTGTCGGAATGGCCTCTAGGGAGCCGTGTGGCGGCCGCAGGGCGGCGAGGGCCCCAACTGGCGGCGTGCGCCGGCGCCTCCTCTGCCGCGTGAAGCTGCGAATGGCTGATGAAGAGGTAGGTCGCAGGGTGAGGCTGCTAGCCCCTATCTATGGCACGGGTAGACCAAACCAAGCAGGCAGCCGAGCAGCGCGGGCAGTGCTGTTGGCCAGCAACCGGGCAGAGCCGCGAGGGCGGGCCGTCCGGGCGACGGGAGAGTGGTGGAGGAGGCGCATGCAGCAGTACCAAGTCGAGCAAAAGTTGATGGCCAAGGGTGGAGGTGGCATGCGGGATGTGGTGCCGTCAGGCATGCCACGGGCGCGGCAGGCTCGCTGCACGCGGGCGCCGGGGTGCCTCACAGCGGCGAGGGCTTGTAGGGCGCCACGGGGGCGCTCTGAAACGACGCGCCCTCCCGCCAGTAGCTCACGCCCGCCACCCGCCGCCCGCCGCGCTCCTCCACATCCACCGACGCCCGCGCCTGCCCCTTCTCTAGCTGCTTGCCGTCGCCAGACACGCGATAGGTCAGCAGGTTGGGGTGAGCCTCCAGCAGCGTCACCAGCGCCTTGCCTGCGCCAGCAGGACGTGTGCCAGCAAAGCGGGACGGCGCCCGTCAGCTGCTGCCCGGCTCAGCAGCTGGGCATGCCAGGGCAGCATGCACCTGCCCAGGTATGTGGGCCGCAAGCATGGCACGGGACAGAAACTGGGTTTCCTCCTCTGAAGCAGCCTGGCCCGGGCCATTGCGAGCCGCGCACTCTGCTGCCCCAAACCTCACCGCTGGCGCCTTGCCGCTGTGCATACTCCACCACAGCACGCATCGCATCCACCGGCTGCCCAAGGATCTGCAACAGCGTGTCGGCAGCAAGACGGGGAGTCGGCCCTTGCCCACGTCTCAGGAGCCTGGCAGCAGTGAGCTGCCGGAGCGCACTGCGGTGGCTTGCTGTCCCGCCCGCCCTGCCCGCCAGCCTCCACGCATCCATGCCCTCGAGCACGGCTCCCGCTGCCCTCACCAGCTTGTTGATTGACACCATGTTTTCCACAGACTTCAGGGGGATCTCCAGCGACTCCAGGTACGACACCTGCACCCGCCAGGAGAAGCGCAGGCTGGCGCGTTTGTTGAAGCTGAGCAGCGGCAGTGCACAGGGGTCCCCGCAGCGGCAGGGAGGCAGAGGCGCATTGCCGCCTGCTGCACGCAGATGGCTTGCCAGCATACAGGCGACCCCCGAGCCCGTCGTGAGCTGTCTGGCCAGCGCATTCCTGTCTTTGCCGCTCCCAACACAGCGGTGGCGGCTGCGCTCCTCGCGCCCAAGCGAGACACGCACCGCTGCCTCGATCTGCGGCACGCTGGCCTGCAGCTTGCGCTTGATCATCTCGCCAGTGACGCCGTCGATCCAGGCAAGGTCCCATCCGCGCGCCAGCAGCGCCTTGCGCACTGCCGCCGGGCTGCTCAACTCCGCCTGCAGGTCGGTCGCCACGGGGGTGTCCACGGCGCGCACCACCAGCCTGCAGGCACGCACCCCGGTCAATGTCGCGCTCAGCCAATGGACAGGGGAGGCCCTCAGCGTGCGTATTCCAGCAGGCAGAGACGGAGGATGACAGGAGCCTGGTGGTGTCGCACCTTGCATGGCCAATGCGCCGGCGGGCTTGGAAGCTATGGGTCAGGCATGGCTGCCGGGCCACCAGGGGCGCCACCGCCGCTGCGTAGGCCATCGTCGAGTGGAAGTGGTGCTTCTGGAGGCGTGCCCGCTGTCTCCTGGGCAGGTGGCGATGGCGTCGATCGAATCTGTGATGCGCACCGCCATGATGGCCTCTGAGCAAGCGTCTTCTGCAACCCATTTGCCACTGTGTCATTTCAGGCGGCGCACGAGGAGGTCATCTTCCGCAAGGAGGCACCGTTGCATCATTGCTTATCGACAAAGGCACGTGCACGCCTGATCACCGTGTTTGAACCTGCCCACTGCCCCCTGCTCACAGCACTTCCACTGTGGCGTCGCTTAGGGCGCCTTGAGGCAGCCCCAGTGACAGGGGAACCAATGGTTAGAACGGTTGAGCTCGACGCAAGCGTGCCAGGGTTCAGGGCCCAGGTCGGTGGCGCGGCAGCCGGGCGGCCACTTGCTCCAGAGGAGTGTGGCCCCCATCCACCTGCCCCGGCATCTGATCCTGCATGCTGTCTTGCCGCCTGCTCGCGCAGGATCTGTTTGAGCTGGTGTATGGCGGTGGCGGCGCCTTCTTGCGCCACTTCCACAGGCTGGTCAACAAGGACCCAGGTGGGGCGCAGCCAGCCAGGCGGCTCGAGGCACATCTGCTCAGGCTGCTACATGGCGGGATGCGCGTCAAGCTCGCCGCCAGCAGCAGCCCGTCGACCGCCACTGGATGCTGCTGGCAGCAGGCAACTGGCCATGCCTGGCCCGCCGCTCCCTTCCGCAGATGCGAGCGTGGGGGAGTGGGATGGCGACCAGCGGACCGTCTCCTTCACCACCCCCGTGGACGCCCCTGCAATGATCAAGCGACTGATCGGCATGGACGTCATACGGGTGGTGGAGACGCAGCGGCGTGCCTTTGGGCCCGACGGCTCCGCCACGCTCGTGAGTCGTGTCGTGCCGTGGCGACAACTGCACGTGCGCTCCATGTCTGTTTGGCTTGTCCTGATTTCATGCCTGGAGTTCGTGCTGCCATTTGATTACAGACCAGCGAGCCGGTGCCAGATATGCCCGGAGGCGCCAAGTTCTCAACCCTGGCGGTGCTTGCCTTCAGCGACGCGCCTGGCGGCAGCGCGTGTCAGGTGGGCGGGGCAATACCCCTGCTGCCCCTGCTGCGTGCTTGTGCAGCGCAGCATCGCTAGGCATGCTCTTTGGCGCATGGCTTGGTATGGGGGTGCTTTCCCTGGCTGGCGTGAGGCTGAACCAGCGCTTTAATCACTGGCAAACCTTGCTGCAGATACGTGCAGTGGTCACTTGCACCGCTGGGGGGCCGTACGGCCTGACAGGTGGGCGGGTGCAAAGCATGCAAACGCAGCAGAGCAGTGGTTGGTGCGCTGACCGTGCTGCGCTGCGCTCCTGCGTGTCCGGTCGCCTTTGCCCAGGCGCTGCTCCCCGGCTTGCCTCCTGCTCTGCCCTTGGCTACCTAGTGTTCCTCTCCCAGAGTGCCCGGCCTGGCCCCATGCGCTGCAGGGACCATCGAGTCGTTCATGGCTGAAGCTGGAAAGAAGTCTCTCCAGGACTTCCTGGATGCAGTCCAAGCATATGCGCAGGTGGGCGGCACCAGGCTATGCATCTGTGGGGTGTCTTCAGGGGGCGCCCCTGTTGCCGGCCAGCTGCCAAAGGTGCCTTCTTGCGCCACCTGAACGCCCTTCATTCCGGTGCAGGCCCCAGAAGCGGCGGCAGCGGCAGCGGTGGCAGCGGTGCCGCAAGTGCCGACAGCAGCAGCAGTGACAGCATTGCCAGTAGCAGCAGCGGTGGCAGAACCACCAGCTGCTCCAGCAGTAGCAGCAGCGCCAGCAGCAGCAGCAGCAGCAGCAGCGCCAGCAACAGCAGCAGCAGCAGCCGGGCAGCCGGAGGAGCAGTTTTATGATGCTCTGGAGCTGCCGCAGCCGCAGCTGGCGCCCAGTGGGGATCGGCTGCTGTATGAGCAGACAGTGCTGCTGTACCTGCGCTACCTGTGCCACAGTGGAGACCAGAGCATACGCCTGCTGCAGGCAAGCATTGCAGGCAGCAAGCCTGCTTGGGCGGGCTGCTGTGCTGGCCCGGTGCCGCGCTGGCGTGTGCACAGCCCTGCAGGCAATTGCGCTGCCACTGACCTGTCCTGCACTTGGTGGGAGCAAGGTTGTGATGCCCTGCGTGCTCCTCTGCTGGTGCAGGAGCTAGTGATGCAATTACGCTTGCTTCAGGGCGCTGTGGCGCAGCTGGAGAAAGCAGAAGAGGAGCGGCAGCGACGCTGGCGATGGCTGCCAGAGCTGCCAGAGACTGTCAGCACACGCAAGGTGCTGCTGGGGGCGGCCCTGCTCACCAGCTGCTCTGCCACTGCGGCCCTGATGTGGAGCAGCTGGCGAGCTGCTCCTCTGCCTCGGCGGCGGTGACGTGGAGCCGGCAGCACTACGGCAGGGTACAGCAGACACAGGGGTCTGATTCAACAGGCCACGCATCATCCCTGGTCTCCACTGTATCACTCTCTGCTGTGTAATTGAGCCCGCTAGAGCCCACAAACACACGCCTGGCTGCACTGCCTTGGCCTGGCAGCTCACTCTCGCACTCCTCGCCCCAGCTAGCACATGACACGCCTTGAATGCTGCAAGGAAAGCAGAATGCTGGTGTCGCAAGCCCCTGGGCGCGTTGCCCATCGTGTGTGGCATTTCTCGAGGTGCGCCGAGGGCGCCTTTTCGCTGCCCTGCACTCACTTTTAGCTGCTCTGCATCATGGCAGGATTTCCATTTGATGTCGTGGCGTGCAGGACGCGCTGGGGGCATTGCGCCGCCACCTCCGCCGCCGCCTGCGATGCTGCGGGGAGCAACCCGGTGCAGCACTCTGGCCCCCCACGGCGCGTGGCTGTGATTGGAGGCGGGTTTGCAGGTCTGGCTGTGTCGTGGCACCTGCTGGCTGCGGCCCGTGCAGCTGGCGCGCCCATGCAGCTGCAGCTCTTTGATGCCTTTGGGCTGGGCGCGGGCGGCAGCGGGGCGGCGGCGGGCCTGCTGCACCCCTACACGCCCCGGGGCAAGGTGGGCCTGGCATCCACGCCCATCGGCTGGACTGGCAGCTCGCCAGCAGTGGAGGCAGCAGTGCCTTGCATCATCAGCAAGGCGGATGAACTGCTAGAGAGTTCAGCCCGCTCCCGCTGGTCTGCCCCAGAGCCGCCTCGGCTGCTCGCCTGATGTCAACATGCGCCCGCTTCCTTGCACCTAGCCCCGCTTCCGCTGCAGATGCTGTGGCGTGGGCTGGAGGCGTTCCAAGAAGCAACCGCCCTGCTGGCGGCAGCAGAAGCCGCAGCGGCTGCGGCTGGGGCGCCAGCAGCGCGGGCAGCCGGCATCAGGCAGCCGTTTGCCTGGCGGCACGGCATGCTGCGCCCCGCGCGGTCCGCCAAGCAGGCCAGCGACATTGCTCGCTTCCTGCAAGCCGACCCCGGGGCGGCAGCAGCCACCCGGGCAGAGGCGGTGACCGATGCTGCGGCCCTGGCGGCGCTGGTGCCGGGGCTGCAGCCCCGGCAGCTGATGCCTGATGAGCAGGCGGAGCCGGCGCCAGCCGCAGGAGCAGCAGCGGGACGGAAGCAGCGGCGTGAGCAGCAGCACCGGCAGCAACTGCAGCAGGAGCAGCAGGCGGCGGGGAGGCCAGCGCTGGGACTGATGGTGCAGGGGGGCGCCACCGTCCACCCCGCCAGCTACATGGCGGCGCTGTGGCTGGCCTGCGAGCAGGCGGCGGCGCAGGCCGGTGCAGGCGTCACCGCCACGCTGTCGCGGCAGGCGGTGCCGTCTCTGGCGCGCCTGCAGGCGGCGGCGGGACCCTTTGATGCGGTGGTGGTGGCGGCGGGAGCGGCTATTGGAAGCATAGATGAGCTCCGGGGGGTGCTCCCGCTGGAGCTCTGCCACGGGTATTCACTCGACATGCGACCGGGCGGCAGCGGCAGCTGGGCCCGCAGCGACGAGGGCGGCAGCAACGAGGGCGGCAGCGAGCACCGCGGCACCAGCTACCCAGCGGGCGCGCCCAGCCTGCTCGGCTCCCCCTACCTTGCGGCGCACGGCGGCGACAGCCTGGTGGTGGGCGCCACGAAGCGGTATGGCCTGAGTGCTGCTGAGGCCTTTGAGCAGTGCAGCCGCCCGCTGGAAGGCGACCCTGCGGCTGCGGCGGCCGCAGCAGGCGCGCTGCTGCCGGCGGCGGCCCAGCTCTGGCCGCCGCTGGGCGGGTGGCGGGTGGAGGCTGTGCGGGCGGGGGTGCGGGCCCTGCCCACGCGGGGCGCCGACGGCTCGATCCCTTATGCCGGCAGGCTGCCCCTGGGACTGGCAGGCACCGAGCAGCAGCAGGAGGAGCAAGGGAAGCAGGTGTGCCAGCAGCAGCAGCCTAGCTGCTGGGTGATTGGGGGCCTGGGGGCCCGCGGCCTGGTGTACCATGCCTGGCTCGGCAGGCTCGTAGCGGCGGCGGTGCTGGCGGGGAGCGAGGGCGGCCTGCCGCGCGAGCTCCTGCGCTGGAAGCAGCAGGCGGCGGGAGACGGGTAGCCGAGCAGCGCGTTCATGTTTGTTTTTGCTTAGGACCCTCCATGTAAGCTCCTCTGCTGTGATATGGTGACCGCTGCCATCCCAGGATAGGGAGAGCGGCGGCATCGGGCGGGGCGCGCTTTGCGTGCACGGCGGGGCGCGCCAGCTTGGCCCCAAAGCTCCATCCATTGGCATTCGTATAGTAATTTCGTTCCACGTTCTGGTTTTGTTTGCGATAGAGCTCTTGCCTCCATCGCCTGGGCGGTTGCTCCCGAGCCACGTTTCCCTGTTGAGCGCCGTCTGAGAGCCACCTCTCAGTGGGACACTCATTCGACCGCACACGGAGGCGCCAGGAACGGCCGCCACCCGGCGCTTGGTTGAGACTCTCACGGGGCCGCCGCCGCCGCACCAAGCCGCCGCGATGGCCGCCCAGCCGTTGATCCTGCAGCTGCGGGGCCTCCACGCCGCCTTTGCAAGGGTGGCTCCCTCCGAGGAGGCAGTCGAAGGCATGCAGGAGAGTGCACAGAGCCTGGTTGCCATTGCCCGCGGCTGCTCCCTCACGGTTGATGCCTTCGACACGCCAGAAGTGCACAGGTGCGGCGCCCCCAGCGCGGGCGCCCCGCTCCCATCCCAGCACGTGGCTTGTTGTCGCCGCCACGTGCCTCACGCGTGCCGTCGCGCCTCCCCTTGCCGTCGCGCCTGCCTGCGTCGCAGGGCTGTCGTCGGATTGGCGAGCCGCCTGGAGGCCTTCAGCGCCGTGGCCCAGCGGCCTGGGCAGCCGCATTGGGCCATGCATCAGGTGTACGTGGGCTTGATGGTCCTGGACGTGGTCGCCAAGGTGGCCTTGCAGCTGCAGCTGAGCGTACAGGACAGGCAGCGCATGGCGGGCGCCGCGGCGCTGGCCCTTGGCGCCGGGCTGCGGCGCTTGGAGGAGACGTATGCCGAGGTCGTCGCGATGCGAGGTAACCCGCTTGGGCTGGAGGCGCTGGAGGAGGAGGCGGGCAAGCACGTACTCGTGATCGAGTCCCTCGTGCTGCCGCTGCTGGAGCCCAGCGTGCACCCGCAGCAGGGGGCGGCGGCGTTTGCGGCCGGCGTGGGCAAGCCCGCCGCCATCGTCCCCTGGCTCGCCGCCGTCTGCCGGGCGATGACGCTGGCTGCCACCGGCCCGCACAGTGAGCCCGCCGCCCGGCCTGCCGGCGCTGGCACGCCTTGCCGTGCGCCGCCGCCGCCGGGCAGCTCGAGCCACTCGAGCTGCCTGCCGGGCTGCTGCTGCCGTGCGGCACCCTGCGCTCGCCTCACGCCCCTCTGCCCGCGCATCTGTCCTACCCCGCCGCCCTGCCCTCCGCTCCCACCTCTGCCTGCAGCCATGCAATTCCCCATACTCGCGCGCTGCCTGGGCCTGGTACTGCGCCTCTCCCTGCCTCCCTTCCGGGAGCACAGCCGCCTGCTGGCCTCGACGCCAGACGCCCGGCAGGCTGTTGCGGCCTTTGTGCTGCACACGTGCCTGCCAGCGCAGGCGGCCATCGCCACCCGCGAAGCCGCCCACCTGGCTCGAGACCTGATGGGGTGGCCGGCAGCCGCCCCGCGCCCGCCATCCGCCCTCGGCGCGCTGCCCGGCACCTGCCGCGTGATGGCGGCCAGCCTGTCGGCGATGCTGTCAGATGGCAGCCTGCTCCCAGCCTTTACCAGCTGCCTGAGTGGGCCGGGCAGCATGCAGCTGGCAGTGCAGCAGGCACTCAGCATTGCGCTGGCACTGCCCGTCAGCCAGCCAGAGGACGCCGGACTGCTCGGATTCTGCTTGGCCCACAGCCTTGCTTCATCAGTTGTGGAGAGCATCTGCTCAGTTGTACGGGGCCAGCCGACGCCCAGCCCTAGCCGCCCCAGTGCCGGTGGCGGACCGGCGGGCAGCAGCAGCAGCAGCAGCAGCAGCAGCAGCAGCGCCGGGCGCGGCCCAGAGGAGTGCAGGCTGCAGCAGCAGCGCGAGGCAGCCTGGGAGCTGGTGCGTGCGCTGCCTGGGCTGGCTCAGGCCATGGCGGCAGTGGCGGCTGCTGCGCGGGCGGAAGAGGGCAGCGCACGGCTGCAGGACCCTGCGGCGTATCTGTGCAAGCACTATGGCCGGTGCCTCCCCCTGCTGGATTCCTTGGCAAAACGCGAGGCCTCGGCTGAGCACCTGTCAGAGTGGCTGGATGCGGCAGATGCAGGCGCCCGGCTCGCGCCGCTGCTGATCCATCTGGATGCCAGCTGGCGCCAGCTGGAGCCGGCGCTGAGGCCTGAAGCGTTTGGCGGGGCGGCGCACCTGGCGGCGAGGCTGACGGTGTTTATGTGGGACGTGATGGCAACTGTAGCCGCCCCTGCTGACGCAATAAGCGATCAAGCACGGGCAGCCTACGCCGCCCAGCCGCGCCAGCTGGGGCAGCTGCTTGAGAGCAGCTGCCGGCTGGTGCACGTCCCGGTGTCATCGTCAGCAGCGGCAGGCTCGGCCCTGCCAGCCATGTGGGCAACTGCCGAGTTTGGGGAGCCTTCTGAGCACCTGCCGACTGCCGCAGCCGGAGGCTGGCTGGCGCTGCTCAAGGCGCTGATGTCTCAGTTCGTTTGGACCCTCAACATGCTGGCGCCGCACGTCAAGGCGGGCGCGGCCAGGTGCGTGCATCATGCATGAACACCAGCGGCTTGCTGCCAGCGTACTGTTCCTGGCTGCATTCTGGTGCGCTGTGCGATAAGGCACTTCCGTTTGCCTGCCCGCCCCGCCCGCCTACAGCGAGCGCTGCGTGCAGGGGATGTGCGCAGCGCACAAGGAAGCCCTGCTGGCAGTGCTAGCCTGCGCAGCCAGGAGCCTGCCCAGCGCGCAAGGGAGCCCCTCGGCGCAGACCCCGACGCAATCACTGATGGCTCTAACAAGGGCAGCACGCAGCGGCGCGCTGCCTGCCATCTGTCCCGCCGCTCTTGCTCGTAGCCTGCTCCAAGTGGTGGCAAACTGCCCGGCGGCAGCGGACCGCGCCCTGCTGGATCTGCTGCGAGAAGTGCTTGCGGCGGCATGTGGGCAGGTGCGTGCCTGAAGCGTGCCCTGCAGCATGGCATCAAGCATAGCTGCAGCATGGCATCAAGCACACCTCAGCTGGGTCGCCCTCTCCCACCTCTCCTGCGATGCCCTACAACACCCCAACTGCCCTGCGCAGAGGGATCAAGCCGAGGCTTCCCATTGGGTGTGCATGCTCGGGGTGGTGGTGCGTGCATCCAGGCGGCACGCGCACCTGGCGGCATGCCTCACCACCACTGGCGTGCTGGCTATGCTTCTGGAGCAGGCTGCGGTTCTGGACGAAGAGGGCATCGGGGATGAGACCACCGGGACGGTGAGTTGTTCGCTCTGATCAGATGTTGGGCACGTGCCTCGTTGCCTTGGCCCATCCATGTTGCACACACGCCAATGGATGCTGAGCCATGCGCTGCGCCTGCATGCACGCCGCAGGCGTATGCTCTTCCATGTATCTGTGGACAAGCATTGCTGGTGCTTGACAAAACGGCTGCCAGCCTGCTGTGTGCTCCCGGCGGCCCCGGAGCCGGCACTCCTCCCGGCCTGGAGCTCAGCAGCAGCGGCTCCGCTGGCGCCGGTGGCAGCAGCGACAGCGGGGGCGCAGGCGGCAACAGCGGGCCTGCCGAGCTGCAGGCCTGGCAGCAGCGTCTGGCCGCGCCAGGCGTGATGCAGCGCCTTCTCGACATTGCCGCAGAGGACAGCAATGAGCCGGTGATGCCGAGGCAGGAGGCTGAGTTTCTGGGGACGCTGTTGCCAGCTGCTGCTGATCTTGCGGCGCTGCTGCTGACGGTCTGGGAGCAGCAGCCAGGCAGCAAGGCGCAGATGGCCGTGGAGCTGTCCCTCGCGTCGGCCACCCGCAGCTGTGCCAACCTGCGCTGTGCCAACCCGGCGACAGTGGGCGGCAAGCGCAATCCAAGGTGCTCCGGCTGTCGCACGGTGCGCTATTGCTGTCGCCAGTGCAGCGTGGCGGACTGGCGGCCGCGCCACAAGCTGGTGTGCAAGGTGCTGGCTGCTCAGCAGCAGGCAGAACAGGAGGCGGCGGCGCCCTGACGGCAGACCAGCAAGGAGCTCCAGATGTGCACAATGCCCGATGATTGTGTTGCGTTCTCAAGAATTGTGATTTATAAGTTACCAGCTGTAAACCCACAGCTATGTTGCCAGAGGCCCCAACGTGTGCAACACTGCCGACTGGGCAAATGAGGCGTGACGTGGCGTGGCGACGTGGAGGCCGCGACGTGGCGGCGTTTGTGGCAGAGAGACACTAGCTCCATTCTCTCGTGTGTCATTCTTCTCCTTCTTCTTCCCGGCAGTTCTTTTTGCCCCGATCGGCTTATTTAGAGTTGTCAGTGAAAGCCACCCATGTCATTCGCACGAGCCTTCCAGCGCAATCGGCTCCTGCAATATCTAGTTGCCGCGGCGTGAGCAGGGTTTGGGCTGGGGGGCGGGGTGCGGGTATCGGCGGCGGCGGCAGTGGCGTTGGCGGCGCACGGGGTTCGTCGCTGATCTGTCGTCGCTGATCTGTCGCAGCAATTTGTGCTCTTCTTTGTCCACGCTCTGCAGGGTGGGAGTGGGCAGCGGAGTGTACCTCTTCAATGAGCCGCTCAAGCAGCATTACGAGCAGCAGCAGCACCAATTAGCACAGCAGCAGCAGCAGCAGAGCCAGCAGGCCCTGGCGCCGGCAGCCACTCGCTCCCAGCAGTAAGCAGCCATCCAACATGTCGGCTACCCTGGTCCCGCCGCTGCAGCAGAAGTGCCTGCACGTGCTGGCCTCCTCGCTGGTGGGCCATGCCACCTGGCAGCAGCGCCTCGGCGGCTTGCAGGCAGGTGTGGCCGCCCTGCCGCAGGAGCTTCGCCTGGAGGTGAGAACCCCCATGCGTTGGAGGGGCAGGAGCACACAGCAATGAACAGGGCAGCTTAGGTCACACATTTCAGCCTTTCCTGTCCTGCAGCTGCTGCTGGTGCTGGCGGGATGGCAGCTGCTGGATGATGCGGCATGCAGCCTGCTGGTCGGGTCATTTGCTGGCAGCAGCCAGGGCAGCATCCTGGCAGGCGCAGCCTGCGTCAGCCTGGCTGGCTGCGCCCTGCTGCGGGGCGCCAGCCTGGCCAGCCTGTTCTGCGCCCCTCTGGCCCAGCTGCACACGCTGAGCCTGAAGGGCGTGGCGCGCCTGACGGACGCTGATGTGGCGCTGCTGACTCAGCGCTGTCCCGCCCTGCGGCGACTGGACCTCTCAAAGTGCCTCCAGCTCACGGCGGCAGCGGTGGCAGCGGTGGCGGCCGGCCCGGCGGCGCCCCGCCTGCAGGCGCTGGCCCTGGCGGGCTGCTGGCAGGTGGCTGCGCTGCCGGGGCTGGACGCGTGCCGCGGGCTCACCTCGCTCAACCTTAGCGGCTGCTGGCAGCTGACAGAAGCCTCAGTGCAGCAGGTTGGTCTGCCGTCGCACTTGGTGTGTGTGTGTGTGTGTGTGTGGTGTGCCCGTGTGTGTGTGCGCGCGCGGCGCTACCGAAGCCCTGACCCAGCCACTGCCTGCCTTTCCCTGGTGCCCGTATCGCTGGCATGCTCTGCAGGTGCTGGCTGGCACCCCGCTGCTCAAGGAGCTCAGCCTCGCCTCCTGCGCCCAGCTGGGGAGCGGCATCCTCGTCAGCGTCTCCCTCCCCGCTGTCCCGCAGCCGGCGCTGCTGCCAGCGCCAGAGCGCCTGCAGCCGCAGGGGGCCGCGGCCGCCGCGCCATTTGTGAGGCGGCAAAACGGCGAACTGGCGGCAGGGGCAGCAGCACACGCAGGCGAAGCGCACGCCTGGGGCGAGGCGGCGCAAGGGCTGCAGGAGCCTGCCGCTGTGGTTTGGGGTGGCGAGGCTGAGGCGGAGGATGAAGCGGCGGCAGCAGACCAGGAGGAGGAGCACGGCATAGAGGAAGCTGCCGAGCGGCTGCAGCTGCCTATTGACGGCGTGGCCTTGCCGCGGGTAGAGCCGCCGCCTGCTGATGGCTGGCCCGCCCTGCCAGGGGATTGACATCCCCTGTTCGGTGCCGGACAGATGTTCTGCTGCCTCGCTGCATTGAGTCACACTTGGTACCACAAGTCCACGCCTCACCCCGCTTCACGCCGGCCTCCTCCACGCCCTGCCTGCCTGCAGCTGCGCAGCCTGGACCTTTCCGGTACCGCCGCCAACGACTGCCTCCTGTACTGGCTGGCGCAGCGCTGCTGCGGCCGCCTGCAGAAGCTGGCGCTGGGTGGCTCACAAGTGACGGGGCTGGGCCTCTCTGCCCTGCTGCTGGCCAAGCGGGCTCTGCTGCATCACCAGCGCTGCGCCGCCAGCCGGCCCAGCAACGATGCAGACGCCGTTCCCGCGCCAGCGGCGGCAGCCGAGGCGCCAGCGGGAGTGCTGGCGCTGCTGGAGCTCGCCGCGGCAGGCACGGCGGCATTCTCGGCCGCAGCGCAACATCACGCGCTCCCGGCAGCCCAGCTGCAGGCTGTGCAGGTGTGTTTGAAAGGCGGTCCCTTGGCAGCTTTGAACTTGAGCCCTGTTGTGCTGCTAAGCGCCGTGCTGGGTGGGCTGTTTGTTGTCGGTTCCCTTCCTTTCGCAGAGACAGTGGGAGGCGTCGCAAGGCGGCGGCCTGCACCTGCACTTTGCTAGCAGTTTCGGTGACGGCAGCCTCGGCAGCAGCCCGCTGCCTCCCCCGCTGGTCTGGAGCCTGCTGTCGCCGCCGGCAGACGTCAGCTGCCTCTACTGCCAAGCCGCCCACGCGGCTGCCTGGCCTCCTAGTAGCCCTGCAGAGGTGCTGGCGGCGCTGGGCCCAGCGTGCCTGTCCCAGCTGCAGGCGTTGGATGTGGGCGGCAGCGACGGCACGGGCGCTCTGGCTGAAGTGATTGCCGCAGAGTGCAGGTATGGCGTGGCGGTGTGCTCCTGCCGGTTGGCCGCCTCTTGTGCTGCTGCTGACACCTGCCAAATGCGTGTGCAGATGCACACCCGTGCCCTGCGCCTGCGAGCACCCCTCTTGCCCTTCCTGCCTTGCCCCTGCCTCGCAGCTCCCTGCAACGCCTGCGCCTGGCGGGCTGCACCGGCCTCAGCGACGCCAGCCTGGCTGCCGTGCTGAGCCGCCTGCCGGTGCTGCGGGACCTGGATGTGTCTGGTGAGCTTCAGCTGTAGCTCACCATGCTGCTCTGCGCACTGCTGCTGGTGGTCTTATTCTCGCATGGTTTGCTTCTCCCTGGCGGCAGCAGGATCCCATGGCGCCCTGCCTGTCCCTTCCCCGCGTGCTGGCGCAGGCTGCACCGGCAGCCGCGTGTGCCGCCCAGGCTCCCGCTTCCTGCGCCACAAGGCGCCCCGCCAGCAGCTGGGCGGCGTCACGGACGCCTCGCTGCGCCTCCTGGCCCTCCGCCCTCCACTGCAGCTCGACGGCGCCTCGGGGCCAGCGGCAGCGGGAGCTGCGACGCCAGGCAGCGCTGCGGCAGATGCGTCGCAGGCACCCGCCGCTCTAGTGGCCCTGAATGCCGGCGGTCTGTCCATCACGGATGCTGCCCTGGCCAGCCTGGCAAGCTGCTCAGCCCTCACCAGCCTCGTGTTGCGCTGCTGTAAGCGCATCAGCGACAGCGGCCTGCTGCAGCTGCTGTTGCACTGCCCAGCATTGGCCAGGCTCGACGTCGGCGGCTGCTCCCAGCTGACCGCCGCGGGGTTTGGCTGCTACACGCCGTTCGGCAGCCAGCCGCGGCAGCCTGGGGACGGCAGCACAGCAGGGACACGCACGAGCGGCAGCAGCGGGGGGGCGGTGCTTGGGGGGAGCAAGCAGGAGAGCAGCTGGGCGATGCCGCAGGGTGGCAGCGGCAGCCGGACGTCCCCCCCTTCGGTGCTGCTGAGGCCAGCCACGCAGAGGCTCAGCAGGGTCAGCAGGCCCAGCTGGCGTCGTTCCGGCGTGTGGTGTCCACCGCTGCGGGTGTGCAGCTGCAGCGGGCGGCGCTGCCCAAGCAGGCCTGCACCCGAGAGGTCCTTGCCTGGCTGGCGGGCCAGGCTAGCAGCAGCAGGGGCGGCAGCAGAAGCAGAGGAGACGGGGATGCAGGCAGCGGCAATGCCACCTGCCGCAGCAGCGGTGGCGGCAGCGGCGGCGGCGGCGGCAGGGGGCCGGCGGGCTGCTCGCCTTTGCAGCGCCTGGAGCTCGCCTCTTGCGCCGCGCTTGCCGAGGCAGATATCCTGGCATTGGCAGCCTGCTGCCCGCTGCTCAAGTCGCTGCAGCTGGGGGCCGCCGCGGCGGCAGCCGGCAGCAGGCTGTGTGCGGCGCTCGCAGAGCACACCCGCCTTCTCACCCGGCTGGCCATCGGCGGCGCCAGCTTGGCAGATGCGGACCTGGCGGCGCTGCTGCACGGCCTGCCAGCCCTGCAGCATCTGGACCTCTCGGGCTGCCCCTCCCTTACCGGCTCGGCATTCAGGCAGCAGCTGGCAGAAGCAGAAGCGCAGCGAGCGGCTGCAGCGCAGGGCGTGGCAGGTCCTGGCAGCGGCAGCCGCGGCGCCGGCAGGGCGGGCGATGGCGGCTGCTTCCTGCTGCGCACGCTGCGTTTGGAGGCGTGCCCCGGCGTGGACGATGCCGGCGCGGCGGCAGCGGCAGCCTGCTGCCCACACTTGGAGACGCTTTCGTTTCGGCAGTGTGCACGTGTGACGGCTGCCGCGGCTGCCGCCGCCCTGGCCTCCTGCCGCAACCTTCGCCAGCTGCTGCTGGGCGGGACGGGCGTGGCGGAGTGCAGCGCACTGCCTGCCTCGCGCCTGGCGCCAGGCGCCAGCGCCCTGACCCTGGTAGAGCTGCCCGTCCGCGCCGGCCGGTGGGTCCCCGCCTGGCAGCAGCTGCTGGGCTGCAGGGGTGCGCCCAAGCTGCTCCTGAGGGACTAACCGGCTTGAATGGGTGGAATCCTGGCTACAGCAAGCACCCCTTCTTTGCATTTCATAATTTTATGCGGTAGCGACACGCAGACACCGCAACACTTGGGTCGAGGCATTGCAGTGCGGTGTGCGGCACCGGGGCGGGGGGACCGGCCCGGGCCGGCATGGGCTCAAGTCGCTGTGCTTGGAACACACAAGCAAGTGATTTCAAGAAACGTTGCCAGAAGTGTGCAGGTGAGCATTGTGAGGGGTGTACCACAGGAGGTATTGGCTTCATGGGCGGGGGATGGGCAGCGTGCGGCGGGCGGCATGCTGGGACCACCAGATGGGCTCACCCATTTGAGCGTCCCTGCATCCATCGACGCTCGATCTCTGCTTCTTGCCGCGATTGGTGGCTGGACCCCAGTCGCCCAGCAAGCAAGGAGGGAGGCCGCGCAGAGCAGCCCGGCCGGCCAATTTCAGAGCAGAGGCTCAGAGAGGCGCCAGATTTTTCTCACAGCTGCAGCACACGCTACAGTCATCATTGATGCAGGCCAGCGCCCGTCTAGCGGCCGCTCCCCAGTCGCAATACCCTAGCAACCGGCGCCGGCCCCAGGAAGCCAGGAATGCGCCTCCAGCTCGCCCATGGGGTGCGGCACGCAGTGCTAGATCGCGGCGGCTTGCAGACGATGTGTGCGCCCCGCCCGCCGCCGCTGGCGCCACCGGCAGCAAGGGGCGGGGCGGCGAGGCGCTGTCTCAGGAAGACTATGGGTGAGGTTCTGTGGGACAGGCTGCCTGCTTTGTGGATGAGACGAGGAGGGGAGCTGCTGTTCTGCTGTGCTGCGACCAGGCCCAGGCGCTTCCGTAGGCTGGCCTGTGTGGGCAACGCCCCCACCCATGCATGCCCACTCGCAAACAGGGCAAAACCACGGACCCCTCCCCCCCTGCAGCTTGTTCGTGCGCTTCCTGCACATGGCATCGCCGTATGTGGCGGGGCACCGCGGCCGCACGTTTGTTGTGACCATCCCCGGCGAGGCGAGCAGGGCACAGCTGGCGCCAGCGAGGCGGCGCCGCATGCATGCCGGGGCAACAGCGTCTGCCGGCAGCAGCTGAGCAATCCCTGCACGTGGCTGCCAGCTCGGGTGGCGGTGGGCATCAACTCAGCCACCGCCTGGCCCTGTTGTGCCCCGCATGCGCGTGTGCAGGTGGTGGCGAGCCGCGACCGCCTCTACCCCCTGCTTGAAGGTGAGAGAGCGCACTGGCCGAGGCACGACCGCACTGCCACTCCTCCTGTTTACTGCAGGCCCCTGCCATGGAATGATCGCCTTCGTGGGCACTGCTGCTATCTGTACCTAGTGCTCATGCCGGTGCCGGCTGCCTCCTGCCTGCTGAGCCGTGCTGTCCCTGCTGCTGCAGACATCCTGCTGCTGCACGGCCTGGGGGTCAAGCTGGTCATTGTGTGCGGCGCGCACGCGCAGGTATGGCCCCGCAGCTGGTGTGGTGTCGTGCCGTCGGCGCTCATTCGCAGAGGCAGCCGGCGGCAGCAGCAGCGGCGGCGGGTGGGCTGGGGTGGGCTGGAGATGCCTCGCTGCCTCGCTGCGGCTGTGTGCCCACTGCCGGCACTGGAAATTGCTCCCTCTGCAGATCAGCGAATACCTGCGGGCTCGGGGACGGGAGCGGCAGCTGGTCGGCGCATACCGTGTGACAGGTGCAGGGCGGTCTGGAGGGGCTACCTTCCCAGCCTCCCATGTCGCCCATCCTCACCCTGCCAGCGCCCTGCTGCATCGATCGCATCCGGCCAAACCAACCGCTGCGCCCGCCCCTCGCTCCCGCACGCCTCTCGCTACTTGCAGATGAGGTGGCGATGCAAGGAGCCATTGAGGCGGCGGGCACCACCACCACCGTCGTGTCTGCGTTCCTGTCAAAGGTGATGCGGAGCAAGCGTGCATGTGGCGGCCTGCCCCACCACAAACCGCCACGCGCCTGCCGGCTGTCCTCGGCTGCCTCGCCAGGCCCACACGCACACGCCACCCTGCGCTGGGAACCGTTGCGCGTCACAACTTACCTGCCAATTTGCTGTGCTGTGCTGTGCTGTGCAGGCGCCCAGCATCCCCGTCGTGCGCCGCCACGCGCGCAGCGAGGGCGGCCAGTTCCACTTTGCCCCCGCGGTCCAGGTGGGCGCGGCGCTCCCTGCTGCTGGCCTGCCGCGCCGCAGCAGCCTGCCTGCCTGTGGGCCCGTGGGTCGGTACGGGCCTTGCCTCACTGTTGCGGCCGCAATGGCCCCTCCACCTCTCTCCGCAGGTCGTGAACGGCAACTACGTGACAGCCAAGCGGCGAGGCATCGTGAATGGGGTCGACTTTGGTGGGTTCCTCTGCTGGGCTGGGCTTGTTCGCTGCCGGCATGCCACCGGGATTCACTGCTTATTTCGGGATTTCGGCGAGTGACACCTCTGATGCCTCTGATGCCGTGCGCTGATCCCCGCTGTGCCCGCTGCGCTCCCTGCCTCTCTGGACGCTCCACTGCAGGCCAGATGGGCATGGTGCGGTTTGTGCAGCGCAGCGCCATCGAGCAGCAGCTGGCCGCGGGCAACCTGGTGCTGCTGACAAACATCGGGGTCAGCAGCTCAGGAGAGCTGCTCAACTGCAACGCCTTTGATGTGAGCTGCGCTGGGGTGGCCAGTGGGGCGGACGCTGGGGTGGCGGGGAGGGCATGCTGGTGGGTGGCCGCCCGCGCCGCCTGGCTGCCGGCAGGCTGGCAGCCGTGGGGCCGGCGGCGCAGCGCACCGCGGCGGGCGCCCGCTTCCTGCAGCCGGGGCGTCTTGCGCTTTGTCACCTTTCAGCCCGCATCTCCCTGCAACCCCACACCCGAATCCAGCAAAACCGCCTGCCCCCTGCACCACGCCTCGTGCCATGCCCCGCAGGTGGCCACCCACGCCGCCACCGAGCTGCGGGCAGACAAGCTGCTGATCATCACGGGAGAGGATGTGCGGGCACTCAGCCTGCCCCACTACCTGCCCCTGGTGAGGCTGCACCCGTAGTGGCCGGCTGCATCCGTGGTAGTGGTGGCGTGGTGGTGTGGTGGGCGGTAGTGGGTGGGTGCCGGGGCGGGTTGGCTGGTGGTGTGGACCGTGTGGTGCAT